TGCCTCAGAGCCTGGGATGGCATAAAAGTAGAGTTGGTTGTATAAGACAAATTGCCTTCTGTGTTGATGGGAAGGGGAGACTTACAGGCCTGTAATTCAGGAAATGCCCTCTCTTCCTAGGCCCAGGGCTCAAGGAGCAGTACGTGGGGCATCTAAAGGTGGGGAGCTCTCCGGAAATGTTTCCCAGCATGCAGAGAGAGTTGTCCCCGGAGCTGTAGGTTTAAAGGGGCGCTACACTTAGCTGTTTTATTTTGTTTTGATTTCTTGGTACCCTGCTCTTTTTTTCTGGAGAGACTCTACTACCAGATTCTTTCTTCAGAGCTAAGTGACCAAGAGCATCTTCTCAGACACTTACATCCACTACTCAGAACTGCATATTGGGACAGTGCTCCAACCAACTGAGCTAACCTGGCCAGGGCCTTGCATTAAGTGAAAACTTAGCATATTGTTAGAAAAAGCCTTGCTAGATTAGACAGTGAAGGTTGCTTTTTTTTTTTTTTTTTTCCTTAAAGGAAACAGGGTATAGTATAAAGTCTGTTTATTTATTTATTATTTTAAAAATATATTTTATTGATTTTTTTACAAAGAGGAAGGGAAAGAGATAGAGAGCTAGAAACATTGATGAGCGAGAAACATCGACCAGCTGCCTCCTGCACACCCCCCACTGGGGATGTGCCCGCAATCAATGTATATGCCCTTGACCGGAATCGAACCTGGGACCTTTCAGTCCGCTCGACCACTGAGCCAAACCGGCTTTATGACCCATCAAATATTTTGATTAATAACTCAAATTCATACTTTGTATTCACTTTTTGGTCAGCACAGTGTAGGTATCTATACTATAGGCCAGTGATGGTGGTTGTTGGGGATAGGGTTGTATGTCGTTGCTGTCTTTTTCTTTTTGGAAAACAATTTGACTATATATAAAAAGTCTTAAAATTGTTTGTACTCCTTGACTCATTAATGCCACTTAAAAAAAAATCTATTCTAAGGACATAATTAGACTGGTTAAAGATTTATGGACAAAGATATCCATAGTGACATTATCTGTATTAGCAAAAAATATACATACAGATATATAGAAAGAGATATATTAAAAAATGTAGGCTAACTGTCCAAAAGGCAATAGCTAAGTAAATTAAAGTACATTCAATAAAGTATCTAAGTAAATTAAAGTACATTCAATAAAATTATTCTTAAACATAATTTGATACAGTAAAGTATCAAATTATGTTTAAGAATAATTTTAATAAGTAAAAATCATCATTAGATAAATGAATAAAACAGGATTTAAAACTTGTATATATCTTATGATCTCAGTTATATAAATATACACATATGGAAAGGATTAGAAGGAAAAGCAACAAAATGTTGATGTGTTATCTTTAGTTGACGGAAATGTCATGTTTAATTTTTTGTATATTTATGTAGTTCACATTTTGTATGCTGAATGTGACTTTTTGTCAATGAGTATTTGTAGAAACGTGTTAACAACTTTTTGCTTGTAAAAGTAACATATTCATTATAGAATATGTGGGGGGAAAAAACTTGAATATTTTGTTTGAATGTTGTGTTATGTTATGTACCTGGTAATATGTTAACCACAGTGGGTGCTTTAAAAAAAAAATTCTAAGTGGGAAAAAACACTGAAGTCCAGAACAATGAAAGTGCGATTAAATCAGAATTCTATTCCATCTGGTATGATTGAAATCAGAATTCTGTTTTTAATTTGTTCATGAGAATATGTGAATGTTAAATGCACTAGAACAGAGGTCAAACAGCCAGTTATGTGCTGAAGTGATGAGGAGTGGGCTGAGGTGCACTTACCTAATCAGAAAAGAGGACAAGAGAAGGATGGGAAGCTTGTATGCAGAGGAAATTAGGATTGTTGTTTCCCTCGCTGAGATAAATTTTTATGGGTAAGAAAGATGACATGCATGTTAAAGCCACAGATCTATGTGAAATGGCAGGAACCTTGCTCAGTTGTGGTAAACTGGTCAAACAAATTGTTCATTTAGTAAAGCAATGCAGGACATATATACTTATGTATAAATTATAACTATATAAAATGTAAACATGGACATTTTATGTAGTTCTATATTACATTTAAGTGTTTTACATATATGTTTTACAATAACTTGCTGGTCAAATAGCATTTATACTAATACTGAGTTTCCTTTTTTTGACAAAGAATACTCTTAAAAATGACATAGCATTGAGCAATATTCCAGTAGTGTTAATGGATATACCCTGCTTTATCTGTCATCTAACCCTACTCGTGGTCAGCAGTATTTATTTGGGAGGTTGGACCTATGTTGCTATTGGCGGCTGTTGAATGCAGTTTCAAACTACCTGGCCCATATAGCAATAAAACTCAGGGCCTTACTCTCATTATCATAATTCTTTAACAAACTGAGCAAATTTGCCATTTCTAAACATAAACCAAGTTAACAAATATTTAGTAAGTGATTGTTATGGTCATAAGTTCTTTCCAATTTCCAAAATCAATGCCGAGCATGTTGCAGTTCCGGTTAAGATGACAGACGGGTAAATGTGGTACTTTGAATCTATCACAACCACAGTCATTGAGAACCACCTGAAATCTAGCTGATTCTGTTCACCTGAAACCCATCAACTAAAGATATAAAGAAGAGGCCACATCAAAACTAGTTGGAGGGGCAGGGACATGAACAGGCTGGTTCCAAACCCACGTGTGGTGGTTAAAAATGGGAAGGGATATATTGACTGTGGAAGTCCTTCTGAGGGCAGTGGTCCCAACCCCACATCAGGGCCCATGCCTAGGGTTCCAGTGTCGGGAAGGGAAGTCCCCCTAACTCTGGCTTTGAAGACCAGCAGTGATTATGGCTGAGTGAGAGGGAGGCTCTTCTGGGGTCCCAGGTGTACTTCTTAAAGAGCCCATACATGGACTTACTCAGACTCACTTGCTCTGAGCTCCAGTATTGGAATAGCAGCTCGAAAGGTGTATCAGGAACTTATGGGGAGGAACTCACTTCAGATCGAAAGACACACAGCTGAAAGTAAAGGGATGGAAAAAGATATTTCACAAAAATGAAAAAAAAATCTAAGGAAGTAATACTTAAATGAAACAAAATAAACTTTAAAACAAAGTGTGTAACACTAGATAAAGAAGGACCCAGTAATTTTACTTCTGGGTATTTATATGAAGAAACCCAAAACACTAAAACGAAAAGACAAATGTACCATATATTTATTGTAGCACTATTTACAGTAGCCAAGCTACAGAAGCAACCTAAGTGACCATCGAGAGATGAATGGATAAATAAGTGGTGAATTTATACAATGGAATATGACTCAGCCATAGAGAAGAATGAAATCTTGTCTCTGCAACAACATGGATGGACAGAGAGGGTATTATACTGAGTAAAATAAGACAGAGAAAGACAAATGCCAGATGATTTTACTTATATGTGGAATCTATGCCACAAAATAAACCAACTAGCAGAACAGAAACAGACTCAGAGATACAGAGAATATTTTGACAGTTGCCAGATGGCAGGGGGCTGGGGGAATGGGTGAAAAAGGTGAAGGGATTAAGAAGTACAAATTGATAGTTATAGCATAGTCACGGGGATGTAAAAGTGCAGCATAGAGAATATAGTCAATAATGTGGCGATAGCTATGTATGATGTCAGATGGGTACTAGATTTATCAGGGTGATCACTTAGTAAGTTATATAATACCTAATTTCTATGTTGTACACCTGAAACTAATACACATCAACTGTTATTGATAAATAAAAATTTAAATAAAAAACAGCATGTTATGAGTAACCTAAGAGAAAGATAGAGTCAATAAAGGATATTCCCATGTGCTAATATTTAGGCAGCAATAACGAGCTGTGAAATTTTAAAGGACAGCTGTAAAGTAACCCAGTGGATCATGTGTTGGGGTTAAAGTTGACCCAGGAATTTTTTTCACCACTTTTCAATAAATAAATCAGTGAGGAAAGATTTGGCAAAAGGAAGAAACACTCCTCCTTGTCCACATTCTCTCAGGAAAGTGGCTCCTGTTAACAAGTTATTTGACTGTTTACTTTGCCTTGACTGCTGAGCAGCGGTGTGTCCGTTCTTACCCTTGAACCAAGTGAGAATTCAAATAAACCAACAATGTTTTCACACCGACGGCCCCTTTTGAGAGGTACCAAAATATCCTCTCTCGTTTGTAAGAAGGAGGCCAGCAAGAAAAAATGGAAAGGCAGCCCATGGACTGATCATCTGTGATTGGGATAAAGTTGAAATTGCTACTTGTAGATTTTAGAGTATCTGGCAGAGAGAAGTAGGCATTGTTAGCTTTGCTAAACTGCTGCCCTCTCTGTGTATTAGAGAACCCCTACAAACACAAACCTTCCCTTGACTGCCATTCATCTCCATCAGTTCTCCCTATTACTCTGCTGCCTGTTCATAGCAACGCTCTTAAGGAGTCTTCAGTCCATGAGCGTGAGTCCCCAGGTGAAAAAAAAGGGAAGAAAACCACTAGTTCCAATCTCATAGGGTGGTTGTGAAGATGAAGTTAATATAGCAAAAAGCACCAAAGTGGTGTCTGACACATACTAAGTAAGCACTACATAAAAATTTGCTATTATTTTGTTTCCGTTCTTTCTGCTTTTAAGGACAGTAGAGGAGGCATGCATTTTGATTGTGTTGAGTTGTAGATGCTTGTGAGACATAAAACAAGCTCACTACAAGGCTGTGAATGCATTCATTTGGAAGGATGGATTCTGCATAATAAAGCACTTTGGAAGAATGAGCAAACCTTCTAACCATAATTTAGAACCTGGGGATTAGTTTGTCAGTTGGGAAGAAATGAATCATGTTCACAAACAGCTCTATTGACGATTCGGGTCCATGAGGCCAACTCTTTTTGTGGTTTAGATTTCCTTTTCTTTGAATGTGTTTCAGTGAGCCAAGGCCTGGATTTTGCTCTGGAAACCTGTCCTGCCTCGTCCGTCATCTGGCGCTATGCATCCGGATCCTGGACCCTTACAGACACTGCTGTATATCACTCTTGCCCTCCTGTGCTCCTCAGTGAGTTCGGGTAAGAATAAAAGTATTGTAGTGTTTTAACCAAAGCGTCTCCTTAATCAAAACGGCAACCTCAACTTCAGTATTTTGCTGGTGATGATGGGTTCTAAAGACATTTGTAAAATTTGACCAGATTTTAAAACTTTGATTAACTGAGCAATTTAAGAATCTTTTTGCAGTGCCTCGTGGGCATCAGCAGGCCTTCCCGTCATTGTCCTTGTAATGTATGCCTTTTATTGCCTTAAAAATAAATATTTTGCAATTGTGCCTTTTTCAGTAAGAAGATATGTTTCAAATTTCTGAATTTGGAAATTATAACGGGAATAAAATGCTGACTGCATACCACCAAAAAATTTTTTTAGTATCAGCATGTAATAGTATTCAAGTTGGGGTAGGAGAATTTGGTTAAAATCCCAGCCCTCGTGACCTTGTCTAATTTGTTACTACCTAACTCTGTGAGTTACTGGAAAGCTTAACTGTGTTTGTTGTGAAGTGTGTACAGAAAGCCTGAGCCTAACAAAGGCCCGCGGGCATTTCTTCTTACTTTATGTTTGTGTAAAGATGTATTATGTTATACATTGATGTTTACTCATGAAGTAATATTTCTTTTCCTCTGTTAAATATACCGTACAACTCTATTAGATTCAGTAAGGAAACATTGAATTAATGATTTTAGTACCTTTTTTTTTTCTTCTCCTTTGCTAAACAACAACCTCAGATTAGTAGAGAGGCACTTAATCTTTATTTCTGATAAAATATCTGTAAGAATAGAATCAATAATATATTGGTGTGGGTTTTTTTTTTTTTTTTAAGTATTTTATTCTGCCAGAGTAATAGCATTCCTGCCCTCTGCCCTCTTTTTTGGGGGGGTGGGGGGTAGTAGAAGAGAGAGCTTTGTTTTGATACTTACGTGTGTGAGCATCCTCTCTCCCTCCAAATTCTGGGAGAATAGACATAACAAACGAACCTATTCCAAAGACCGAATAAAAATAGTAAGGTTGCTGCCCTATTGAGCCTTCTATCCAAAAAAAAAAAAAAAAAAAAAGGATAGACTTTGTAGTCCAGTGTGATTTCCTAACTTTCTACTTGTACTCCTTTAAAAGTTGAACATTATTTTGAAGGGAAGTGGTAAAGAAGTACTGTAGCCTTATTTAAAAAATAACTTGCTCTTAAAAGTCAAACCCTGTTGGTAACACGGTAGAAATTTTTTTTCTTTTTCTTTTTAAATATATTTTATTAATATTTTATAGAGCGGAAGGGAGAGGGATAGAGAGTTAGAAACATCAATGAGAGGGAAACATCAATCAGCAGCTTCCTGTATACCCCCTATTTGGTATGTGCCTGCAACCAAGGTACATGCCCTTGACTGGAATTGAACTTGAGACCCTTCAGTTCAAAGACTGACTCTCTAGCCACTGAGCCAGACTGGTTAGGGTGAGATTTCTTTTTAGTTTAAAAGTCATTGCCACTTTCTCAGACAATCAACTTTTATTTCTTGAAAGCTACTTCCTTAAATGAGCAACTTGCCATTTTTCATTTACATCTTAAAGATTCTTATCTATTGCACCCTGATTGTTAAGCTGTAGGTTAACATGTTCCCTTTACTTCTTCCAAAAAATGGGCTTTTAAGACTTCCTAAAACTTTTACAAGCATTAAGAACCATAACATAATATAGAGAAAGCAAAGGGTTGCCTGTAGTGACGTAGATTGAGAGGAAATGTCTTTAATGGACTTTCTTTCTCATTCTCCCTTTCCTTTGCACCTGGGGAATGTTCCTTTGTAGACCTGGCACCTTATTTTATTTCTGAGCCACTGTCTGCTGTCCAGAAACCTGGCGGACCTATAGTTCTACATTGTTCTGCTAAACCTGTGACCGCTCATATCACGTGGTTGCATAACGGAAAAAGATTGGACCGAAACTTGGAGCAGATCAAGATTCATCAGGGGACTTTGACTATCCTTTCTCTCAACCCCTCCCTTTCGGGTTACTACCAATGCATCGCCAACAACAGCATCGGTGCAGTTGTGAGCGGCCCTGCAACAGTTTCCATTGCAGGTGAGTTGGATTTTGGCTCTGTTTTCCATGGGCTTTCCTGAAATTCCTGCCAGTGGTTGCACTTTGGGGTTGTGGGAAGAGCATGGGTTTTGGAAGAGGACACACGTGAGTTCTCATCCCTGCCTTGACGCTTGCTATGTTTAACACAGAGGGGTGGGGGTGGGGGGGGATGTATTTGAACCTCTGTGAGCCTAGCCTAGGTATCTTCTGTAACAAGGGCACGGAAGTGGATTTTTACATAGATAGGACAGTTTTCTAAAGCGAATTTTGAATTTCTTAGTATTTAAAAGGCCTTGATAGGAGCAACAACAAAAAAACCTATTGTCTACTTCGACCCTCAGTTATTTTCTGCAGTTCTTTATCTTTCTCTCACATCTAATTGTTTTATTTGCCTGATCACTGAGTGATTTTAATTTATTTAATTGAAACCAGGCTAGAGAAACAGGAGAATAATAACTGACTGTAAAGAAAGGAATGCTGAGTGTTGAGCTTAGGGGAAATCTGGACCTCGCAGTTTTCTTAGTAAGCTTGAGCCATCTGCCTTTCAAACGGTGATGGCTTCCAGCACGGGAAACCTCTCCGCAAGGGCACCCCTATTTACAGAACAAATCTGGATTCCCCAGGAGTAGTGAGTTTGTCATAACTGAGAAGAGCAAATGTTTGTGTAGAGCTGTGACCCGTGGATCGCTCCAGGACACACCACTGGAGAGCAGGCGGGTGGCAGGCTGCCGACTGCATGCAGCACTGGGGCAATGGAGGCTTCCCTGCAGGCTGCGTCTGCGGTAACACACACAGAGGGCCTGAGACCGAGTCGGTATATTCAGATAATCCACATGCTATGCAGCTTTGTTTTCCCACGTCCCAGGTTGAGTATGAGTAGCTGCAAACAGAATAATGATGCATAGGGAAAGTCAGTTTTGTTTTGTTTTTAAATATATTTCTGTTGATTTTAGAGAGGAAGAGAAAGGGAGAGAGAGGGGAAAAAACACACAATAATGAGGGAATCATTGATAGGCTGCTTCCTGCACATCCCCTACTGGGGATCGAGCCCTCAACCCTGGTATGTGTCCTGACCAGGGATCGATGCTCAACCACTGAGCTATGCTGGCTAGGGAGGGTGAGAAGGCTCTGTCTTCACAAAATGGAAACAGTTATGCTTTATAATTCTCCCTAACGTTTTAAGAGCAGTTTGCTTTTCTCAGTGTCTTCAGGAAAGGGTGCCAGGGCTTAGCTCCAGCCTCAACCATGCACCTCTACCCCAACTGTTCTGTGGGGTAAAAAGACCATGCTCCCCCTGTGAACTGGGGTCAGCTGCCACCATCAGCCATGCTGCACAGATGCTGTTTTTAGTTTTTAAATTTCCTTTGGGAAAGAGAGTTCACATTTACATTTATTGATTCTGTTGATTTTTTTTTTCTTTTTCTTTTAGTTCTTGGTGACTTTGACTCATCCGCAAAGCATGTTATTACAGCAGGAGAAAAAAGCGCTGGTTTCATTGGCTGCAAGGTACCAGAGAGCAACCCCAAAGCCGAGGTGCGCTACAAAATCCGGGGCAAGTGGCTGAGGCATTCTACAGGTGAGAGCTTTCATGAAAAAGCCAATGGCACCCACTGGTCAAATGTTCATTAAAGGACCTGCCGCTAAGCCCTGTGTGCTGGCGATTGTGGGTATAAAAAATGCATTGCATACGTGTTCTCCACTCTCAGAAGTCAGGGGGAGGAGACGAGAAGAAATGGTTACATTACAGAAATGATTACAATCTGCATTCCCTGTGCTCACCCTCTCTACTGCTTCAGGTCCCTGCTCAGATAGACCTTCCTCCGAGAAGACCGCCCTCTGGGCCCTTTCAAGAGTCTGTGCTCGGCTGCTCTGTCCTCTGTATTCGGCTTCATTTCCCCCAGAGCCTTGTGTTGTACATGTGTTTCTTGGTTGGTTGGTTATCTGCCACCCCCATTCCCAGCACTGGACTGTCAGCTTACGAGTTTGGACAGTTGTCTTCTCTCTTCATAGCTCTGTCCCTTGTGCCTGGGCCATCACTGGCAGAAAATAGGCACTCAGTACCTTTTCATTGAGAAAAATAAGGAATGAATAGTCATGACTGAGCACTGGTACCGGTTTGCCCAGGGTGGTGTAGCTGGTCACTGAACACCTATCTGTGTTCCCAACCAGTGTTTCCAATGGGCTTGATTTTGTGACTTGAGTACTACTGACCTTTTCTTTTTTTTGCCTTAAGTTTTCCTTTCCTTCATTCATGAATTCCCCTCAATTGCTTATTTGCTGCTAGTCTTATGTCTAAATTTAAAGCAGAACCATCAGAATTGATTAGTGTTCATTGGTGTCCTTTGTAAAGAGAGATGTCTAACTACAATCCTTTCCTTCCTCAGAGAATTACTTAATCCTTCCATCAGGAAATCTTCAGATTTTGAATGTATCCTTAGAGGACAAGGGATCGTATAAATGTGCAGCTTTTAATCCTGTCACACATGAATTAAAAGTCGAACCCATTGGCCAGAAGCTCCTTGTGAGTCGTAAGTATTTGGGAGAATATTGGTAACCAGGAAGAGCCCTTGGGAGCATACCTCATTGGGAAATGAGAGTTCATTTTTCCTCTTAGATCGTGTTTGTTTACCATAAGAAAGTTATAAAAAACTAAATACAGAGGCGTATAATAAAATAGTATTGAACATGTTTTAATGATTATTAGAGGAGAATTTTGATTAAGAGGACAGAGCAAAAGAGAACTTTGCCCTTTGCTCAAATAAAAATAAATGATAGAAAAAATATAACTTGATATTAGCAGTGAACAAGTTAGGGGCTGTGGATTATGAAAAAAATAGGTATCTGTCCTCTTTCCTACCTGATTTTTAGCTTTCATACCTGACTTTTACAGTAAGGTGCTTCAGCCAAAGCTTAGTGAAGTGGTGGTTCCTGTCCTTCGTTCCTAAACTGCTAATTCAGAAGTAGCCCGAACGGATCACAAACTCTCTTCATTTTAATTTTCAACTACAAATGATTTAGCTGCCAGATAGGACCTGGTAGGGGAAAGAAAAAAAAATGGGCAGGTGGGAAAGCTCACAGAATTGCCAAGGAAGAGATGGGACGTGATAATTTTTTTTTTTTTCTCTTTTTTCCAGGCTCTTCTTCAGATGATTTTCACATTCTTCACCCCCGCCTTTCACAGGCGTTATCTGTGCTTTCTCATAGTCCTGTAACCCTGGAGTGTGTGGTGAGTGGGACCCCATCTCTTCAAGTGCACTGGCTGAAGGATGGTCAGGACGCGGTGGCGGGAAGCAATTGGAGGAGGTTGTATTCTCATCTTGCCACAGATAGCATTGACTCAGTGGATGCCGGGAACTATTCCTGCATGGTGGGAAGCAAGTCTGGAGACGTAAAGCACGTGACTTACATGGTCAATGTCCTTGGTAAGATGTTGCTCAGTGACCTTTTGCCAAGTCAAGCTATTTTCCTGATCTAACTGCTGTTTGAATGGAAGAACCGCTCATGAACTAGAAATGAAATGAGGGCTATCAGGAAACACCATCACCAGCAGACAGAACAAGCTCCATTTTCCCATGGACTCCTGAATTAGGTAGTCTCTCTGGGTGTTGCAAGACAGTTCACCCGAACGTTCTTAGCAACCTCATCCCAACCTGGTTGTGTAGCACAGAGCTTGTTTTTCTCAATGGCATGGAGGAAGGAGACTGGAATTCAGTAGGATGGAACCTTCTGGGCTACTATCAGGTGTACTATACAGTAACCGAGGCAGAGAACTGACCAGAAAATGTCATCTCAAAAAGAAACACATTTCATTTTCTTTTCCCTTTTGGAATGCTTTCACTAAATCTGGCTCATGGAATTTGCATTAGTTTCACCTACATTTCTATATCTACTCTTTATCTCAAAGCTGTTCCTTTCTCTCAGCTACCTGTCTCACTGTCATGTGTAGTAGCAGAAAATGTTTTTCTTTATCAAGGCAGGTTTTCATGAAAACCAGAAAAAATAGGCGGTAAATGGTTTCATACTTAATACAGTTTTTGTAAAATCTGCACGTGTGTAATTGCAACAGTGGCCTGATGTAGGTTACACTGGAATTAATGTAAGTGTATGGCAGAGGGGCATTAAGGTTTAATGATCGTTAGGACTAGATTAATATGCATAATCATTTAATTTGGGCACATGTTACAAATGTCAATGCATGATTTACTTTGTTTAGGTAAAAACTCACTTGATGGATATTAAAGGAAGTTTTTTTGGCCAGTATACACCTAAGCTCAAAGCAGAATTGGCTATAAAAATAATTTAACTTCTGAATAAAAGTTTTTCTGTTTTGGCTCTTGTTTGAAAGCCAGGGAAACTATTACTTTATTTCAAACAAATCACCTGAAACTAATGCTAAGAGAGTCCCCAAATTAGAAACTCTGTATGTGTATATGTGTGTATGGGGGGAGTTAAGTGGGTGGAGAGAGCTATAAAAAGAGATTATAACATATTAGTAACATATGGTTTACCCTATGAAGGGAAAATTAAAATACATTTCTCATTTTTTTTCTTGACCACAGCAGATGGGAGAATGTTTGGTTTTAACTAGTTATTGGTAGGGAAGATTTTCATCTGACTCACGTGGTAACATATGCTTTGTTTTCAGAACGTGCTTCCATTTCTAAAGGACTGCAGGATCAAACTGTGTCTCTGGGGGCCACAGTGCAATTTACCTGTGAGGTTCGTGGAAACCCATCCCCCAACCGTACCTGGTTCCATAACGCACAGCCCATTCATCCTTCCCCACGACATCTAACTGCAGAAAATGGATTGAAAATCAGTGGTGTCACCATGGAAGACTCCGGCCTGTATCAGTGTGTGGCGGACAATGGGATTGGATTTATGCAGTCCACTGGGAGACTTGACATTGAAAAAGGTAGTGTTTAGGGCTTGTGATTAATTATAGGAAATCCTACTTTTCAGACAAGCTTTTGTTGCGGTTGAAATTTAACTAAAGGAATGGTCCCACCACCGTCACAGAACTGCATCATTTGTTCCCTGGTCCTTCCTGGTTGCAGAGAGGCATATCCATGAAGCAGCCTTATTAACCAGCTCATTAACAAATTTTAAAAAAAATGTTTTTCAACAGATCTTTCCAAGATCTTTCTGTAGATTCTTGCAACTTCAATTAAAATTCTAATCAGAATATTTTGAGGACTTTGACAAACTGATTCTAAAATTTCTATGGATGATCAAAGGCCCAAGAATAGATAAGATAGTCTTAAAAAAGAAAAAAATATGGGGTGCTTGCCTTAACAGATATTAGAACATATATAAAAATCTGGGGTAATTAAGACAGTGGTGTTGTTGCAGGAACAGAAAAATAGATTCTTGGAACGAGATGTTTAGGACTACCATTTGCTTACAACATTGAGAACTTTTACCCAATAGGATGGAATTATTTTGCACTGTAATACTATAATGTTCTTAATGTTTTTTATGTGAATGACTTTTTTAACAGACAGTGGGCTCAAGCCAGTAATCATTACAGCCCCAGCAAGTATGAAGGTGGCAGCTGGAGACTTTGTGACTTTGTCCTGTAACGCCACCGGAGTGCCAGTTCCGGTCATGCGCTGGTATGACAGGCATGGATTGATAACCAGCCATCCGTCTCAAGTCCTTAGATCGAAACCCCGAAAGTCACACTTACTAAGACCCGGGGGCTTTGACGCCGAGCCTGTCTACTTCATCATGTCCCGAGGTGGCTCCAGCTCACTGTACATCCAGGCCGTCACTCAGGAGCATGCTGGGAAGTACACCTGCGAAGCCACGAATGAGCATGGCTCCACGCAGTCGGAAGCTGTCCTCACAGTGGGTGAGGTGCCATTGGTGTTTTCTTTTCCAGTTGAATCATTTTCTGTGATAACGGGAGATAAAGATTGCTGCATTGGGACAATTTCTGGTGGCGGGAGGTAGGATTAGGCAATCTATAATAATAAAAGCATAATGTGCTAATTAGACTGGACATCCTTCCGGACGAAGCCGAGGCGGTGAGGGTAGCCTGAGTCCCAGGTGCTAGAGGGAAGCTGGTGCTGGCAGCTGGAGGAACAACGCTCTAACCAACCGGGCTGCCCAGCAGGGCCTTCAATAGATGTTTAGAACAGCATTCCCAGCACGTGGTCAGTTGAGTGAGATTGCCACCATATTTGTCATGTGGAAGTAAGACTATCACAGAGCAGTGCGGCCCTTATTCTTGGACCCGTGGTTCCTGCCCTGGGCCTCTGCTTTAGAGGTCTTCGTGTGGCCCCCTTCCGCTTGGCCCTCGGTTCCTCAGGCCCCACAGGTCAGAGTCCATGGGGTCAAGGGGCTGCTTACCCAGAGACTGGTGCCCTGTTCCTCCTTCTGTACAACAGGCCTGGGGCTCCAGAATTCCCTGCTTTAATTAGCGTATGGTCTGACTCCACCCAGGTCTTTCCCCTTGTACATCCTCCAGAGTGTAGGCCACACCACCAGTGTGCAGGTCCTTGCACCAGGGGAGTGGCCAGGGGAGTGGAGGTCCTTGCACCAGGGGAATGGAGGTCCTTGCACCAGGGGAGTGGCCAGGGGCTGGTCCTCTGCATAGGAATGATAGTGAGGTAGTTAGAGAGTGGATGTGCACTGTCCTTCCATTTGCATGTTTGAAAGGACCCTAGCTCTGATTGAGGCTGGAGGTGGAAAGAGAGGGGAAGGCCAGGGACTCCATTTCCACTCTGTGCTGCTCACTGCATGCAGATAGAGGCGGGGTTGATGTGAGTGTCAGCTCGCAGGCTGTGTGAGTCTGGCTCTGCCACGCAGGAGCTTTGTACCCAAGGCAAGTTACTGAACTCGCCTGTGCTTGTTTCCTTGCCTGCGGAACAGGTATAGTGACATGCCCCACTCTTGGGTCCATGTGAGCATTCAAGGAGTTAATAGGTGTAAAGTGCAAAGAATGGTGTCTAGCAATAGAGATCTTCCAATAAATGCTAAGTGTTAGGGTATGGCTATTACCATCTATTCATTATTAAATTATTATCACCCACTTGGTGATGAAGGAAGGAAGGAATATTCACTGATTTTAGTAACTTTACAAATTCTCAACTAAAGGTATTGAGTGCTGTATAACTTTATAGATATACACTGAGTGGCCAGATTATTATGGTCTCTGAATGCATAATCATCTGGCCACTCATTGTATATCCTATATAATAAAAGGCTAATATGCAAATTGTCCCTGCAACCAGGAGTTCGACCAGCAGACAGGCCGGCCAACCGCCCATGTCCTTCCCCCCTGGCCAGGCTGGCCAGACCCCACCCATGCACGAATTCATGCACTGGGTCTTGTGCTTACACACACACACACACACACACTGAGTGGCCAGATCATTATGCGTTCAGAGATCATAATAATCTGGCCATGTCGAAACCAGCTTGGCTCAATGGATAGAGCATCGGCCTGCGGACTGAAAAGTCCCAGGTTCGATTCCGGTCAAGGGCATGTACCTTGGTTGCCGGCACATCCCCAGTAGGGGGTGTGTGACAGGCAGCTGATCGATGATTCTCCCCCATCGATGTTTCTAACTCTCTATCCCTCTCTCTTCCTCTCTGTAAAAAATCAATAAGATATATTAAAAAAAAAAATAATCTGGCCACTCAGTGTATATGAATATGCATATGTGTGTGTTTATGTATTGATTCTGCTAACCAAAAATAAGAGTGGCTCTTCACAAAATGGTTAGCTGTAAGACAGGTGTAATGCAGCTGCTGCTTGGGGAGCATTTAGCGGAAGTGGTGGTTTTATGTAAACGTAGGGTAGAGGGAGCTGTAGAGATCATAGCCATAGCCCATGAAACCAGATATTTCCTCTAAATGCCTCACTTTACATAGGATCTGAAGCCCTTAAAAGATACGTAAACTGCCTTGTTTAGATTAGATCTTCTTAGACCTTTAAGATGGCCCCTTCTCGATTTTAATGTCTTGATAAATACCATTTTTATGTATAGCAACCCCATTGCCTTCATCCTGCCTAAGTGGCCCTGCATGGCCTCTTTTACATGCTCTCTAATAATGATTGAGATGCAACTGAGTTCATTAATGCTCAGAACTGTACATTCTGCTTCTTTCCACAGGAATCGGAGCTTTATTAAATTTCAGTGTACTGACAGCCATTTACATAGTTTATTGTGAACGGGGAGTAGGCAAGGTCAAAGAGAGAGAGGACTATCTCCCCCCACACACACACACCACACACACACATACATATGCATCCCTGTTTTTTTTTCTTTCCAGAGACCTTGAGTTTTGGGGTAGTGGATGTGAAGATATTTGTGGAGTGAGCTGTAACCCTTCGAGACCTCTGTGGGAATTGGCCTGGGTTTTCTAGGGTGTTGGGTGGGGTTGCTGTTCTGAGTGGTCACAGTAGGAACAATTTTGACAGCTATGGTTATACTCCCTGTTTGATTAGTTTCAACTCAATCATTAAATTCATGGCCATAGTTACAGTATTTAGAAAACCACCGTTTTATCCATCTTTTTTCCAGTGCAGAAAGCCATCCCACCTTACAAAACGCTAGATATCTATTCTGGCCACTTCACAGAGTTGCTTTGAAGATAAGTTGAAATAACATCTGTGAAAAAAATTTTGAAAGTACTGTTAAGGCCTTATAAATGGTATCTAGCACCCTGTGAGGGCTCAAGTCATATGGTCGGGAGAGTAAATGAAGATTGATTGAATCCTCTGTGTATTATAGAAGGGCATGGAGCAGTCACATTGCATCCAGAGTAAGAGAATAGAACTCTGAGACACAGCCTGCATGGAGCACGCAGTTTTTCTCCTACCTCTGTATAAACTGAGGCATGCGGTATTTAAACTCCCCTACAGCCAAACACCACCTCCCCCTGGTAACCTGCTCAGAGGATCGTGAAACTGCTCTTGATAAAAAAACGTTTCTCCATACTGTGAGCCACAACAAATGACCCCACTTGCTTGCGTCCGAATCTGCATTAGCAGGCACCAGATCCCTCCCTTCCCATCAGCCCACGTTCTGTTCTGACTCATTAGGTAAACATGGCCGTTCCAGGAGCAATATTTTGAAGTCTCCGTGAGCTTCACTAGTTTTCTTGTATATTATTTTCTCACTAGCTTCTTGTTTTCTTTGATGGAGGATGCTCCTGGGACACCTTTTCTCTCTCTTAAACAAACAGAGAACTGACCTTACACTGTGAGTCCTGTTTTTTGTTGCTTCTCTACTAAACGGCAGTAGTTCTCCTAAAAACACCCCCTCCCCCTTTTTACCAGAAACCTGACTTCACTGTGGAAAAGAAACTCCAGCGTTGTTTCCTGTGCTCCCTTCCTCCACAAAAGTAGTAAAAAAAAAAAAAAAAAAAAAAAGAGGAGACTTTTTTTGGTCAGTATTAATAGCACTTTAGAGAACCTGGGCTGTCAATCCTTAGGTTTTCTCGTGCTGGCAATATACAGTATTTGTTTTAATATATTGCCCTCTCGCTTCTTCCCTAGCAGCGCTAACATTCTTCTGCCAGCTGTTGTCACTTAATCCCTCAGACCCCTGACTTCTTCATCTATAGAGTGGGAGTATTACTATCTAAGAATGTTGTTTTAAGAATCAAACAAGGTTATGTTTATATTAATAAACATATTAATCTGGCACCATGCTTGGTGCATTAAGATGTTTAAAGGTGCAGCAACCTTTAAACCACTGACCTAATGCATTATGTTTTTCAAAAGTGGTAGCTACTGGAGGTCAGAGGTTTCCATGAATTCTGTATTGAATGTTACCTGCTTTAACTTTTAGGGCTCAGATTGCATCATTGTGGGCAGGCCACTATGTAGAAGACTCTGAATCATGCATTTCTTTAAACCGTCTCCCCTCTTCCTCCCTCTCTCCCTGCCCCCTTTCTCGGCAGTTCCTTTGGAAACAAATACAAAAGCAGGAGTAGTCACATCCGATGCTGCTCAGAATGAGAAGAGAGATGGTTCAGAAACGGGACTCGCGAGCTCCCTTCCCGTGAGGGAACATCTCAGCTCAGTGGAGACACCGTCCGAGAAAAGTGCGAGCAGTGCCTCAGTGCCCGAGGCCCCCATCATTCTGAGCCCCCCGCAGACCCCCACGGCAGACACATACAACCTGCTCTGGAGGGCGGGCAAGGACGGCGGGCTGCCCATCAATGCCTACTTTGTGAAGTATCGGAAGGTACTGTCTCCTCGGGGACCATCTCACCCTCACCCTGTGTGTATAGCATGTGCTGATGACCTTGTACTTTGGGGGAGCGGCAGGAAAGATGTTCCAGGAGGGTGAGTTGGGGGGACACATCCCAGCTGCATTTACCAGCTTATAAAAAGGGTGAGAATAAAGTATAAACCGTTTTCCCCAAAATTGGTATTCTCAGGAGCCCTTGACTTCTCAGCATTTTTTTATCAAACACTTTAACCCCTTTGGGATAAAGCGCTATAAACCACTTTTAAAAAGGTCATTCCCCCTTCTCTAATATAGTAATATACAGTTTATTTATCACATAAAGCTTTGACTTACTGAAAACAACTTTTTGAACAAAGTCCTCCAGCATAATCTCTGATGAGAATTTGCATCTCAAGTTGTCTTCTTCATTGTATTGGAATCTCGTGTTGTTTGGTTATTTATCACAGTGAACTGTTGGTTTTCTGGATGTTTTTCCTCCCGAGGCTTATATTAAAGCAAAATTAAAAAGTCTCCCCTGTTTAATGAGACCAGCAGATGAATGAAATGGGAAGAGAGGCACTCATACTTAAAAATCATTTACTTTGTTCAAGAGATTTGGTATCCATCTTTTCATAGTAATATGCTTAATATCTGCAAAACTTAATATCATGAGATTTGAATGCTGCTGTACTTTTCTAACCGGATGATTCTAGAGGCAGGAAGTCATAATGGTGTTCCCGTATGAGCTGGTCTCTTGTTTCCATTAATGAAGACACAATGGATTGGATCCCTTAAGTTTATTTCATTCAGCACAGATTGATCAGTGTCAAGAATGAAGCAAGAATGCTAGAAATATATAACCCATAATTATATAATCCATGTATATACAAACATACATATTCTAATTTGTCATATTTATCATGTGTAGTGTATGTTATCATTAGTACACATCATTATATACTGATTTTATTCTCCCATTAGCCCAGTAAGAAACGAGTATTGTTTGCATTACAAGTAAAAGGGACCGACTTTGGGAGATAAATCACTTGCCAGAGGCCATACTTGGTGATAGGCAGCAGAGCCAGGCGTTCTTGACAGTGAGAGTTCCTGGGTTCTGGCTGCAGACCTCCTTATAGTCCTTATATTTCTTAATATGAAGAAATATTGTGTCTCTGTTATTTAACACGGCACACCACTTCCCAAAATTCACCTGGGATGGAATAACTTGTCGTTTTTACCAAGTTTGAGTGGACGTTTTTTCTGCCCTTTATCTCGTTTTTCTAACCGCCTGTTTCCTCCTGAGCAGCTGGACGATGGTGCTGGCGCGGTGGGCAGCTGGCACACAGTGCGCGTCCCGGGCAGTGAAAACGAGCTGCACTTAACGGAACTGGAGCCATCGAGTCTCTATGAGGTTCTGATGGTGGCCAGAAGCGCCGCGGGCGAGGGACAGCCTGCCATGCTGACCTTCCGAACCAGCAAAGGTGAGTAAAGTTGCCGTCAGAGGAAGGACTAAGTATTTACAATGTAGAGCTTAAATTTAGCCCCTGTGACAAATAAGCCCACGTGTTTGCATCTGCGTGCCAGTTGAATGTCATGGTATCCTTCCTTTCTTTGCGCATATACAGAAGCTCATGTGACAGCGTGTTTTCTAACCTTTCTAGAGAAAACAACCTCATCGAAAAACGTGCAGGCCCCCTCCCCTCCAGCGGGCGTTCCGAAGCGCCCCGTGCTCTCAGAGGCTGCAGACCACTTTGGGGTGGTCCTGACAGACTCTTCCAGGCACAGCGGAGGTAAGGAGACTCGTCTGCCTACTCACTTTGTTCGCTCATAAATGGAGCCAACCTGTTTCAGATTATTGGGGAGCGGAACGGGACAGGGCATCTGTTTATTATTCAGGTTACATCTACCGTGTACTCTTCTAGGTCCTATTTCAGCCATTTTCTTCAGTTCCCTGTAGCATCCAAATCTTGGAACCCAGTGTCATGATTGGTGTTTAAAGTAATACACTCAGATTCAGAACATCTGGTACTAAGATTTTAAAACTCACTAAAAGGATTTTTCTGTCTCCTCTCTGGCAGGGAAACCAAATTTATATTTTGAACTCTAAAAGTCTTACTTATTTTTGATGACTTATCAAAATATATGGTGGTACCTATAATAAGATTTAGATTTTTTTAAATTGAGTGATTATAAGTCACACTCAGGGTCATTGCTATAGTTTGTCAATCTCATGGTTTTTAGGTAATTTATTTAATCATCACAGGAACCTGATGAAGAAAGAAGGATATCTATTGTACAAAATAGGAAACTGAGACTCAGGCAGTGATGCAGCTTGCCTGAAATCATCCAGAAACCAGAAGAATTTCTCTTCAAATTCAGATTTTTTAGCTCCAACTACAGCGTTCTTTCCTTTATCCTTCAACTGTCACATGCTGTTTAAGATATTGAAAATATTCTTCTCTGTAGAGATATTTTTCCCTAATAATTTTCTTTTTTAATTCAAACTGTGGTGTTCTTTGATGAATTTTTAATAACTCTATAAATATCATTAAGTATACCATAATTACAATTCTTTGATAAGTTTTAATCCCGCATGCATCAATAGAAAGAAGTTGTTTGGTTATGTAGTATTTAAAGAGATTTACTAACAGTTCTGTTCATTCTGTTTCCATCGCTTTCTAACTTGAAAGGAATACAGTAAGTATCACTCAAAGCTGCTTGCTTTGAGTAGATTCCTTTTTATCCATAAATCAATTTGTTGTATAAAATGCCACACTTTTCTCCATACAAGTACCATATGCTACAGTGTTTTGTCCTCATGTACTGTACTTGTATCTGGGTTGGGACAGAGGGTGTGGCACTGGACAGAGGCCGGACTCCCGTGGTGACTTCACCTGGGCAATGTCACCATGGCCAGGTGGGTCCTCCTTGTCCCGCTCAGGAAGGGAGCAGGCCGAAGAGAACTGGCTCACTTTACAGAATTCACAGCTCGGTGGCAGCGTGCTATTTTGTAATGTAGCTGCCATACCAACCAGGCTGTTTCCAGCAGCTTTCTTTCCTTGTAGGAGTGAAGTGGGCAGCCATTAGATCACACAATGGCTTGGTCAGCAGGAAGAGTTAGGTACACGGTTTTAAGGGCTGATTCCAGAGAATCGGCCACAGAATCAAGACTGTCTCACCTGTGGGTTAGGCCATCCCCTACCCTTGGCAGTTGGAACTCAAAACTGCTGGACGTTAGCTCTCTCACCCCCGTTCTCTCCGTGTTCATGTGGATGGCCGTGTGGCTCATGTATTTTCTCACAGCGCTTTTCTTTGATGACATAGCCTGACTTCCTGCTTTCCTCCTGAGCATGGTCTTTCTTTCCATTATTATCGGTATTAATTTTATTAGTCAAATTTCATCTATATTCACGCCTAGCAGTCTGTGTTTTGGAGTAGCAGTCCTATAGCCTTGAGACATGTTAAGATAGGATCGCAACACCTAATTTAACAATCTCTAGATTGTTTGCTGAATGTGTTTCATATAATTTGGATGGATAAAGAAACCATATAAATTCACTAACAAATAATTTTATTATCAATTTACTATAAATTATAAGCACGATCAGACTTGAAGCACCCATTAATAAAATTACTCACACACTGTATTAGCCATGAACCCAAATTAGCCTGGTCACAATTATTACACTAACGTACAGTTTTTCAGAGACAGTTGTTAAGTTAGTAGGTTAATGTTACTCTCCTTCCTTTTATTTCCTGTATTTGGCTATTTCATTGCCTTTTAGCAGGAAGATATATTATTTCCTCTGGCAAGGTTTGAAGAACCTTTAATTAAATATTTGGCAGTTATCCCCTTTAGTTGGTTTGAGTTATTCTTGTCTCTGACACTGTGGGCTCCTGAAGCGAATGTTTCTGTTCTCAGTTCCAGAGGCCCCCGATCGGCCCACCATCTCCATGGCATCCGAGACTTCCGTCTATGTCACTTGGATTCCTCGGGCCAATGGGGGTTCTCCAATCACTGCCTTCAAGGTCGAATATAAACGGATGAGGAGCAGTGATTGGCTGGTGGCAGCGGAAGATATCCCTCCTTCCAGACTCTCTGTGGAAGTTCGTAGTTTAGAGCCAGGTATTAATATCCAAACATTTCCTTTTTATACCATCAATGCTGACTGTAGGTGCATATTTCATTAGCCATAGAGTTTTAGCTAAAGTAATGCAAGCTCATTGCATAAAAATGTGAAAATAAAGAAAATAATAAAGAAGAGGCCACCACTGCCGTGGAAGAGCTGCTGTGCAGGGGCCTATCCCCGTGGAGCAGAGCTGACTTCAGTGGGGCTCCAGGGAGCGCCGAGTGTGCCTCTGAGTGTATCGCCCACGGAAGTGGTGACGTGGTGCTCCCATGTGGTCTGAAGCTGGCCATCAGGTCCATCGGCTCTGAGGCTTCCTGAGAGATGCAGGCCAAGGTTGGCCACTGCCTGTGCCCTGCCTGGAGCCACCTGGCACAAGCTACAGGGTGATGAGCTTAGAGGCGCCCAGGAAAGGCCAGGTTGGGTACTGAGTCCAGCTGCCTCTAGTGCCAGACCTGCGGCCTCTTAGCAAGAGGTACACCAAGGCCAGATGCTGATGTTTGGGGTTCGTGAACCTTTGAGAGATTTTAGGAAAGTTTGAAGCATGAGCCAAGATAGGTCTTTAGATGGAAAAGTCGCTGGAAGTGGGTTGGGAGGGCCTACAAGTTATCTGAGGGGGGTCTTGAGGGATCACGATGGTAGCCAGGTCGATGGAGACTCAGACATGGTGCCTACGCCTGCCTGCAAGGGCAGGGCTCAGCAAAGGGAAGTGGCTTCTGCCTGCACTTCCGTTTGAAAGAAAGCTGCCTCTAGCCTTCTCCCCAGAGTCATACAGTTGAGCTCCTCCTCATATGTCCCTGGTTCCTTCCAAACACAGGCTTCAGCATATGTTATTGTAATAGCACACTTGTCATAGTTTGAGTTATTGTACCTTCACTTGTCGTATTACAGCTTTTTCAAAATTCTGGGTTTTTTATTTTTTATTTTCTCTCCTCAAAAGGTTCAACATACAAATTTAGGGTCATTGCTATCAACCATCACGGTGAGAGTTTTCGGAGTTCAGCATCTCGTCCTTATCAGGTGGCTGGGTTCCCCAATCGCTATTCCAACCGCCCAGTGGCCGGCCCTCACATTGTGCACACAGAAGCCGTCAGTGATACGCAGATCATGCTAAAGTGGACGGTAAGTGACACGTCTTCTCTAATGAGAAGGTTGTCTGGTTTGGCCACGGTAATAGTTTAATGTCCTCATGAACATACAGTGAACAGCAAATTTTTGAACTTTAAAAAAAATATGTTTTTTATTGATTTCAGTGAGGAAGAGAGAAGGAGAGAGAGATAGAAACATCAATGAGAGAGAAGCATTGATTGGCTGCCTCCTGCACGCCCCCTACTGGGGATCGAGCCCACAACCCAAGACTTTTCTTGCCTCAGGACCATGGCACATCCCAGTTCCTGTGCCCTGACCGGAAATCAAACCAGGTCATAGGTCAATGCCCAACCACTGAGCCATGCTAGCTGGGCAGATTTTTGAACTTTTAAGTGAGGAAATTGAAGGGCACAGCTATTTGTCTAAAAGCACATGTTATAAATGGGGTAGGGTTAAAAATAAAATTATTGTTACCTCAGTTCTAATCCCAGTGTTAATTGCCATTACATGGTTTATTCATTTTGAACCAGATGAACTTTTATGCTATTGCTTTAACTTTGGTTAGCCCTGCAGTAAGCTAAATGCTCTTAATACCTTTGAATACCTTTGAATTAAATTTAAAATGGCCATCAAGGATGTTTGCAAAATGAATCGAGAGAAATGTTGCCATGCAGATGGATAAATTTTAATGGATTTGAAAGCTAAATTTATTTTTGTTTTTGACAAGTTTTCTGCTTCTGTTTTTTTTTAGTACATTCCATCAATTAACAATAACACTCCCATTCAAGGATTTTATATCTATTACCGGCCAACAGACAGTGATAATGACAGTGATTATAAGAGGGACATCGTAGAAGGTAAGATCCATTGGCAAGTGGGGGTCCCAGTAAAGGAGTTTTGGAACGAATATTATGAACAACATAATCCCACGTTAAGATAGTATAAAAAATTAAAATACTATATGTACTATTACTTTGAATTTTTCCCAGAGAAAGATAATTTTTTTAACTTAATATATATAGTAGCTTACATTTTGGTTGTAAAAACTGTCAATTACAAAAGTATGGGGGAGGTCTGATTTGTCAGTAGTTCATCTGAAAATAATTTTTGTTTTCTGTTTTGTTTAAATGAATAGTAACCTGTGTATAAAAAAACTGCAACTTCTAGCTATATTAAAAAAAAAATTCTCAGCAGTTTCATTAAAGTTTGCACTAGAAAGATCACATCTTGAGCATGCTATCCTCTTTTAGAGATGCTGAAAAATTGTAATATACATAGAGAAAAGAAAAGAAAAGAAAAGAAAAGAAAAGAAAAGAAAAGAAAAGAAAAGCAGCCAAGATGGTGAAGGTGCTCTATTCAGTTTGGCTCTGTGGATAGAATGTTGGCCTGCGAACTGAAAGGTCCTGGGTTGGATTCTGGCCAAGGACACATGCCCAGTTTGCAGGCTCAATCCCCAGGAGGAAGCATGCAGGAGGAAGCCAATCAATGATTCTCTCTCATCATTGATGTTTCTATCTCTCCCTCTCCCTTCCTCTCTGAAATCAACAAAAATATGTTTAAAAGATGGTGAAGGGTATTGAAACTGTCTTTCTCCTGCATTTATAATATAACTCAGAACTTGGCACCTGGTCTGATGGCACCACAGGATCAGCTGGCCCCTGCCTGCACCTGCAGCCATGTCTCAGGCCCCTTTCCTGTGTCACCGTGTCCTTCGTCCCACCCGGGCCTTCCTCAGCTTCCCATGTGCAGCAAGACCTTCCTTGCCTCAGAACCTTGGCACATCCCAGTTCCTACTCCCTGTCATGCTCTGCTCCCAAAGGCTTTATCTAGGTGCCCTTCTCTCTGTGAGCTCAAACGTTTCTTCCTCAGATAAACTCCTCCCACTTAATTTCTAATCACAACCTTTACGTAGATTTCATAGAAATTTATCATAGATGTATGTGTGTGTGTGCACATATATAAAATTATTTGCTTAAAGTTTGTCCCCTCGCTAAATGTTAACCTCCTGTGGGGAAGGGACCTTTTTTCAGTACAGTATTCCCAATCCATACAATGGTGAAGTGTTTAGTATTAATTTATTGAATGAATGAATGAATGAAGTCCAGAAAGAACAGTAGAATGTCTAGGATGATCACAGAATTGTTTCACAACTAACAGCAGAAAAAAAGATGATGAACAAGCAACGTGATAGTGGTCTTCGGATAGAAAAGACTATTCTGTGGAAGAGGAGCGCAGTCATTTGGGGGAGGGCGGTTAAAAGGAAGTAGCATAAAAGAAGCGTTCTCTAACCTGGCATTCCTAACATAGGTGCTGTCAGCACTGTCCTAGCATTTCTAACATAGGTGCTGTCAGTAATATCTTGGAAGGAATTCTTGCTTTGGGTGGAAGGCTTCTTTCAGGTCTTTTTTCACTCCAAAATTCTGACTCTTTGAAATATTAATGTCCTAATGGACCATGTCAGAAAATTGCCATATGACTTCTTGACATCTAATACTGCGTATAGTTTTTGTTATATATAGTCTTCCAAGAAAATACTTTAAATATGCTATGAAATCATATTTCTTTAAATATTGTAACATTTCTCCTAATGTTGGTCCAATGGAATTACTTTTATAATATAATAAGAACTTTATCATATGAGTTTTAATACCTGGCACACAGTAAAGATTTGTTGAATGAACTTGTTTCTCTTTTCTTAATTTGGAAGAGTAGAAAAGAAATCCGTTCCTAAAATTTGCTTTAAGCATAAAGAATTGGGGAAATGTAGAAAGATAATTGTGGAGTCCAGATAGCAGCAGCCTTGAGGGAGGATGACTGGGAAAAAAAAGCGGAGGACCTCTGCACGCTGGTAATATTCTCTCTTGACCTTGTTCAGTGTGTGAACATAGTGAGCCGCACGGTTATGGGCACTTTTCCTCCCGCATATTTCCCTTTATTAAAAGACTATGTACACATATAATACCTTAATTAAAAAAATGGGAAAAAAGAGACTATTACAAAAAGAAATGGAAAGAATTATTAGTGCCTGTTCTGCATTTTAGTCCTAGCCAGGTCTTCATTTTAGTTTAGCTGGGTTAAGAGAGTGGGGCTGTCAGATATTTATTTTAAAAATCTTTTGACAGAGGTTAAACATTTGTTATAAAGTAGTTTTAAACTAGCCAAATGTAAATAAAATGAACATCCCCTCTGTCTCTTTGTCTCTGCCTTCTCTCTCTCTCTCTCTCTCTCTCTCTCTCTCTCTCTCTCTCTCTCTTTCTCTCTCTCTCTCTCTCTCTTCTCTCTCTCTCTCTCTCTCTCTCTCTCTCTCTCTCTCTCTCTCTCTCTCTCTCTCTCTCTCTCTCTCTCTCCCCCTCCCTCCCTCCCTCTCTCTCTCTCCCCCTCCCTCCCTTTCCCTCTTCCTTTCTCTCCCTCCCTCTCCCTCTCCCTCTGTCTCCTCTTCCCTTCCTAGTTCCCCTCTCTAGAAATATCCACTGGAAAACAGTTTTAAACTATATTCTGTCGTTACATCTTTGAGCTCTCACCAGTTTGTGTGATGTGACTGTTGAATGTGGAACTGGGGAATCGCTATAAAGGAGCTTTCGTATCCAGTAGTAGAGCCTGTGAGTGTGCTTTTCGCCTCACGGTTCACAGAGTGTATGTTTATAAACGTGGTAGACGAAGCAGCTAGATGTTTAAGTGGGCTGCACTGTGCTGTGTAATTTGCTTATTTCTTATTTTCAAGTTTATGCATTTGAAATTCCTTCTGTGGCAGTTAACTAGTGGCCTGCTCTGCCAAGCCCAGCAGCACAAGTGTTCACTCGCTGTGCGTCAAGCCGTCTCTAAAGGGAAGTTGTAGGTTACGTATGCATTCAGGATTTTGGGGGGGAAAATGGAATCTCACATTATTAAAGAATACAGTAAGAGGACAGTTACATTAAGTGATTCTATTTCTGAATTAAGTTCCACGTTTAGATCTAGCTATAAGTGTGTCTAGCATACCACTGCTTTTTTGCTGGATATTTTTATCTTACCAGGTTAAGTTGCATTCCAAGTAAATCAGAGTAATTGGTCGTTTGATCTTTTAAGTCTGTGCTTTTGGTTTCTCACCTTTTGTAAAATATCTTTTCAGGGGGTAAAAATTGCATGTTGCCTTTAAACCTAATAAGGCACTTGGTTGTCTTAGTCATCAGGGATCGATTAAAACTCATTCTCTCTGCTGATGTTTCCTGTAAATTTAACCATTGGGATAATTACCATAACAATGCAATGTTAATCCATTATTTTAATGGTTTTCTGTTATTAGTAACATATCAGAAGCTTAATTTAATTCCATTTTTGCTGGTGCTGTGAAAGGAAAACTTCAGATTTAATGTAGTAAATAGTCGTAAGAATGTGTATAGTTAAGAATGTGTATGAGTGCAGGGCTGGGCTAGGAAAGGCCTACGGGTAGAGAAAAATAATAGACATTTTTTAGAAAGACTTTGGAATTTTGCCCTGGCTGGTGTAATTGGAGCATCTTCGCTTGCACTGAAAGGTGTGGGTTTGAATCCTGGTCAGGGCCCATGCCTGGGTTTCTGGTTCGATCCCAGATTGGAGTGTGTATGGGAGGCAACTGATCTCACATTGATGTTTCTCTCTCTCTCTCCCTCTCCTTTTTCCTCTCTCTGTCCCCACTCACCCACCCCCTTCTTCTCCTCTCCCTAAAATCATTAAAACATATTCTTGGGCGAGGATTTTAAAAAGAGAAAGGTTTTGGAATGTAGAAATAATTCTGATCTAATCTCAACCAGATTTTGAGGGAGGTTTCTTTTAAGGTTCTCTTTACATTTATAAGCAGGTCATAGATTTCCTCACTTATTGAGCCCTTCAGAGTCCCTTGATCCTAGAACAAACAGGTTCTTCATCTCATAAAACGGGGGTCTTTATAGATGAGGGGTTTTGTATTGGTGTCCCAGGGAAGGGGCTGTGCTTTCAGATTGAACTATTTCTGTCTGTGTTGAATTAGAAAGGAACCTGGGTCTATTAGCCAGATCGCTCCGACCTGCACGGGTGGTTTGGTTTTTTTCCTCCTCCTTTGATTAATTCTTAAATCAGTTGGCGATATAGCTGAGTCCCTCAGAAACAGTGGAGACGGTTTGAAGAGGGATTAAAGGTGCTTGAAGAGTTCATTGACTTTGGTGGCAGTGTCGCGTTTATTATTAAACTTTGTCACAGGTCCATGGAAGTAGAAATGGAGAGTGGTTTGCACTGGCATGCTCAGTTTCTAAAGGAAGTGGTGGCTGGGTGCCATGGATAACAGAATCATCCCATTAGAGATACTTACGTGGTTTGGAGACCCTGACCCAAAAGAAGGGAAACGGTGGAGCAGTAGCCACGGGTTTCCCGGAGCGGGTTTGCTTTTGGATATTCTCAACCTTTTCTTCAGCATTTGTTTAATTGTCAGTTGAAGGTGAGCTCCTTGCAATGGACTTGGGAGCTTTGCGAAGCCTGGTCACTTGTTCTGGGGAAAAGCGCCATTTGCTGATCTCACATGTAGTGTTGCCCCTAACGGGTGGGCAGAGTGGATTGACTCGCTGGGCTGAACAGGAGGATCAAAGGGCTGAGAGAGTTTTCCACCTGCGTGTGAAATTAACATGCATTTTACAAAGACCCGCCAGTAATTATTTGTAATAAAACGAGGTATTACCGCCAGCACACGGATCTATCTTTAATTCCGTTTATCTCTTTATCATTTTTGTCCATGCCATGGAATAGAAATACAACTTATTTGTGGTATATTACCAAAATACTTATATCCCGTACCTTTTTATTGACTATATGGGAATGGATGCTGCTCCCACCTCATTTTGAAATTATTAAGTAACTATGATGACAGCATCACTGAGGTTGTGTGACATGCAAAGCTTATCTCTTATCTTTCTTTCTAGGCTCAAAGCAGTGGCACACGATTGGGCATCTGCAGCCAGAAACCTCCTATGATATTAAGATGCAGTGCTTCAACGAAGGAGGGGAGAGCGAGTTTAGTAACGTGATGATCTGCGAGACTAAAGGTAAGGGAGGGAGGAAGGTTTGTGCTTTTCCCAAACTCTGGATTATTCCTTCTGACTATTGATTGAGATGCTAACCTAAGGAAACTTCTGCTTCAGACCTTATTCTAGATGCGTACCGTTAGACTATCCAACATGTGTATACTATGTTGGCTAGAGCACTTGTCTACAAAATAATTTACATGAGTATCAGTCACATTTATTAATCCCTCTGTCACTCTAAGCCACTTCTTTTCTCTCTTTCTCCATCAAGAGAACAGAAATATTTGCTGACTATTACTGATTGCTGTGAGAATTAAAATACTAAACAGAATGTATAAGAATTTAAAGGTTAAGTGCAACATGTTTAAAATAGTTTCTGGAATGACAGATGTTCATAACAATACTTGTTTAAGTATAGTAGTGAAGTTCAGAATTAGCAGTCACTAATTCTAAATTGCAATCCTCAATATGCCTACATACCTAGGTTAACTGAAATATTACCATCTTTTAAAAAGGAAGATATAATAGAGGATATTTATAAATCAAAAGCACTTGTATTCAGTCTCACTCTGACAAAAAGAGAAACATTTTTTCTTGACTATTTTTTTTTTCAATCCTCACCGAAGGATATTTTCCATTGATTTGAGAGAGAGAAACATCAATGGGTTGCCTCCCATACATACCCCAACTGAGGATCAAACCCACAACCTAGGTATGTGCCCTGACCAGAATAAAACCCGAAACCTTTTTGGTGTGCCAGACGATGCTCAATCAACTGAGCCACCCCTCCCGGCATCTTTGTGCTATTTTTATTTTTTAAATGTATTTTTATTAATTTCAGAGAGGAAGGGAAAGGGAGAGAGAAATGGAAACATTAATGAGAGAGAATCATTGATAGGCTGTCTTCTGCATGCCCGCTACTGGGGATCGAACCTAGAACCTGGGCATGTGCCCTTGACCAGAATCAAACCAGGACCCTTCAGTTCACGGGCCAACACTCTATTCACTGAGCCAAACCAGTTAGGGCTTTGTCTTATTTTTAAGAACCAGGGAAGACTTCCCAGAATCCTCTAGTTGATCCTTCCCTGTCAGGTCTCATTGGCCAGTTACATGCCCCTGTCATTCCTGGGGTGGATGATGGGTCAGGACCTACTCCAGAGTTCTGTGGTGGCCAGTGGGCACCTAAACAGACTTGGGGACCCACCTGCATGGGAGCAGGAGGCTAGGCAGCCTTTAGCATCTGCTATAGGTGATGTTATTATCCCAGTTTATTTATTATTATTTTAATATATATTTTTATTGATATTTTACAGGAAGGAAGAGAGAGGGATAGAGAGTTAGAAACATCGATGAGAGAGAAACATCGATCAGCTGCCTCCTGCACACTCCCTATGGGGGATGTGCCGGCAACCAAGGTACATGCCCTTGACCGGAAATGAACCTGGGACCTTTCAGTCCGCAGACCAAAGCTCTATCCACTGAGCCAAAATGGTTTCGGCTATTATCCCAGTTTAAATGAAGATTATAAAGGGTCAAAATGATTGACTTAGTTCCATCTTTTAATTCTAAATCCTGTATCTTTCTGCTGTAAAACCCATATATTGAATCAACATTTAAACATATACATACATATGCCTTTAGCTTTACCTTGAATTTTATTTGGTTAGCACATATTTAAGTGCCTTCTTGTATCAGGCATTCTTATGTGTTCATGGGCACTTCTTCTCCACCTCTAGAATGCTGTAGCACTCAGAGGAAAGTTACATAAAATGAAACTTATCACCCTAACTGGTTTGGCTCAGTGAATAGAGCATTGGCCTGCAGACTGAAGAGTCCCAGGTTCAATTCCGGTGAAGGGTATGTACCTTGGTTGCAGACACATCCCCGGTAGGGGATGTGCAGGAGGCAACTGGTGGGTGTTTCTCATTGATATTTCTAACTCTCTATTCCTCTCCCTTCCTCTACATCAAGAATCAATAAAATATATTTAAAAAAATAAATTTATCATTTCTGTTCCCAAGACATTTAAGAATATAGCCATACAAAACATAACACATAGCCAGCAATGCAATAATTGCTGTTAAAATAGCATTGTAGTAAAGCTGTGTCTGCAATAGCATCTCTCACTAAGTGACTTCACTTGGGAGTAAAAGTTCCTTCCTACAGACTTTCAGATCAGTGCAAAATGAAAAAACCTAAGGCATGAAATGGGAGGGGAGGGCATCGATGTTGCCTTCTGCATGCCCTTTGCCAGGAACTGAACCCGTAACCCATTTATGTGCCCTGACTGGGCAGCCTTTTGGTACACAGAATGGCACTTCAACCAACTGAGTCACTCTGGCTGGGCTAAAAAAAGCTTCTTTAAAATGTTAACTGTTCATGTTGAGTGACTTTCTACAATGTAGTACAGTTCCTGCCTGTTTAAATAGAACATGTTCCATACAAATGCACCTTTTAAAGAAATGACTCAAAGTTCTTCTGAACACTTACTATCTTATCCTCAGTAATTCAGGAAGGTTTTCAGGAATGACGGGTGCTTGCAGGCCCCCATTCCCCACCCTCAGAGATCATAGACTGGCCGGATTTAACTTTAACAAGAGGTTGGCAACCAGATCATCAAGCTTGGTAGAATTATGAGTAAGTGAAGGGTAAATAAAGAGTGAACAAACTGGAAGGACTTCACTGCGAGTAATCCTGGTCTTTATTGCAGACTCTGTAACATCCATTCTGCCTCCGAAACTTGTTTGTTTTCTTTAGAATTGGCAGGGACCTGAGAATTGTTTAACCCAACATACCATTTTTCCTTTGAATCTCTGCCAAGCATTGAGCTAGCTCTCCCCTTTGCAAGGTGGCCTCTTGCCTCTCCTGTACCATCCCCCCTGCTCTGTTCTGTCTGTTAACATTGCTAGAGTATTGAACTCCAATATAATGTGAAATCGACTTTTTATTTTTATTTTTTTTTAAAACATATTTTATTGATTTCACACGGAGAGGAATTGAGAGGGACAGAGAGTTAGAAACGTCGATGAGAGAGAAACATCGACCAGCTGCCTCTTGCACCCCCCCCCACTGGGGATGTGCCCGCAACCAAGATATATGCCCTTGACCGGAATCGAACCCAGAACCTTTCAGTCCGCAGGCCGACGCTCTATCGACTGAGCCAAACCGGTCCTGGCTGAAATTGACTTTTTAAAAGACCACTCAGCTCATATGAGCCTGTGGGTAGCGTAATATGACAGAGTGTCTTAAGTAATAATCATAACAAAATTGAACACCATGTGCTACGAGTAAGGTTCTAAGTGCTTTACGTAGGTTGACCCGTTCACTCTTCATTACAACCTGGTGAAGGGGCTGTTCTTATTATCTCCTTTTTCCACGTGCAGAAGCTGAGATAATAAACCTTCATGGAGGTTTAAACCAGACAGCTGAGGCCAAGTGGTGGGCGGGATCTAGACCTAGCCAGTCTGCTCCGGGCCAGACTGCCAGCCACTGAGCCCACACTGCCCTTCCAGAACCTCTAAGGCTTTAAGAGCATGTTGTCTGGGGACAGAAAAATGGGGTTTGAGTCGCACCTGTGGTTAGCTTTCCTTCTCACGGTTATACCAGTGAACTAGGTAAAAGTACTGCACCGACGTGAATGCCAAACGTTTTTGGTGTTGGAATGCTTTATATTTATGTGGGCGGTTTGGGGGATTACATGTAATTGTTCTTAGAGTCCAAAGCCATATTTTCTAATATTCATCACATGGCAGAGGCAAAAAATATGTAATTCAGCTCGAAGTATATCCGATAGAAAGGAGTTTTTATCCCAGCCATAGTGGAAATAGTTTTATTTCAACTCTTGGGGAGTCTTCTAAAAGGCTCCATTGGGCAGAGAATCAGGAATTTGGGTTAGACCAAGCGCGCATGTTTTTCTGATGTCTGTTTTCTCTAGAATGTGTGGACTAAATCTTCGGCACACCAGATTTTTGAAACTTTGGAGTCCTCTTTGTAACTCATTGGTGGTCAGATCATCTCAGTTAACAAGTGTAAACAGACTGGCTAAGTCCCTAGCCAGACCTCCTGCAGAGAGTAAACCGTGCAGTCTGTATTCGCCCTGACATCATGTTTTCCTTCTATCTCACCCAGTGAAACGTGTTCCCGGAGCCTCGGAGGATCCTGGCAGAGACCTGAGCACCCCTCCCAGCTCCTTAGGTGGCGGAGGCCACTCAGGGCCCGCAGCCAGCCCCGCCAGGAGCAGTGACATGCTGTACCTGGTGGTGGGCTGTGTGCTGGGCGGCATGGTCCTCATCCTCATGGTCTTCATCGCCATGTGCCTGTGGAAGAACCGCCAGCAGAACACCACGCAGAGTAAGGTCCTCCCGGAAGCTTCTTCTCTCCGTTTGAAGGAGACGGGTGGTGGGGGAGATATTATCAGAATACATACCGACTTCTCACAGTTCTGCGTATTAGCCTCCAGACTGTGCACAGCTTGTCAACAGGGAAGGGAAGAGGCGTGATGGGAAGGAAGGGAGTGAAGACTTCTCTAAGTTACTGTCTCTGAATGACACCATGTAAGAGAACATGATCCTGTTTTGGTGCCTGATGTACCAAAACTCCTCAAGTGCATCATCCCCTCCCCTAAATGCTTCTGGTAAGAGGAGTGCTTAAGCTAGGTCAGGATGGCGCTGGATGAAAACACATAACCTAGGACTCCTTTCCCTTTCCTTCCCCCGGTTCACTTCCTGCCTGTCCTGTTCTCCGGGCTGTGAGGGGTCATCAGAGACTTCACTTTGGTGGGAGGAAGTTTTTTTGTTTCCCCTTTGGCCGGTCCTTCCTTCCTTCCTTCCTTCCTTCCTTCCTTCCTTCCTTCCTTCCTTCCTTCCTTCCTTCCTTCCTTCCTTCTTTTATTCTTTTGAGTAATTGCTCCCTGGTTAATTTCTCTTTTCATTAGCAGAGTCGTAATTAACTCAAAGTTCCTAGATACTTCCACGCCGTAAAGGGAGTGGCAGCAATGACCTCACTAAAAAACAGCTCACAAGCTGGCTATCTCCAAGCACTGGGGGAGTGTTTTCTTCTAGCGTGTTCGCAGTTTCTTAATGGTTTTGTTCAGAAACCTTCCTAAGCAAGAAGATCATCCTTTTCAGTACCTTTTTCTTCTTATTTTTTGTTCTTTCTTGACAGAATATGACCCACCAGGATATCTGTACCAAGGCTCAGACATCAACGGGCAGATGGTGGAATACACCACCCTGCCCGGCACCAACCGGATAAATGGCAATGTGCACGGGAGCTTCCTGAGCAGCGGGGGTCTCAGCAACGGCTGCTCCCATCCTCACCACAAGGTCCCTAACGGGATCCGCGGGCCCGTGAACGGGAGCTTAAACGGAGGGCGTTACCCTGGGCACACGAGCTCTCTGACCAGGACACGTGTGGACTTTGAGCATCCTCGTCATCTGGTGAATGTAAGAGACCCAGTTATAAATGACACTGTCCCTGTGTCCCACCCCCGGCCCCCCAGGCCTCCAGGCCCTGGTACACAAGCAGGGTGGGCATGCTGGTTCTTTTCCCTGTGGGAACCTCACTGGTTCCCTGGAATGGAACTGGTATGTATCCCAGACAGTCCCTCCATCCAGCATAATCTTTGTAAGATTTCTATTATTGGGTACTAGATATATTCAGCAATTTGGTTTATATTTTTTAGTGATTTTACACTGAAGGTAGAACATATAGCAAATAAATGGAAGTTATTCTTGAGCTGAAATGGAAGAACCATTGGGTGAGGCTGGTCTAAGTCCTTTAAACTTGACTCAAAGCAAAGTCAGAGAACTCCTCTCCCTGGAGGAGTCTGGCCGATCATGACACCGAGTGAAGCGAGTTCAGGGTGGGGCAGGCGCTGGAGGCACCAGCAAAGGCACAGCACACGCACTCTTAGAGGGCACTGCAGCTCCGCTCCTGTGGTTGGCATGCAGGACCCGGTGTAGCCAGATTTCCTGCTTTTTCAAAACACCCCTGTAAATCCAGGTGAAACTGCCAGGGTTTTTGTTTGTTTGTTTGTTTTTTTAATGTTTTTATTGATTTCTGAGAGAAGGGAGAGGGAGAGAGAGACAGAAACATCAATGATTAAAGAGAACCATTGATCAGCTGCCTCTTGCACGCCCCCTACAGGGTATTGAGCTGCAACCTGGGCACGTGCCCTGACGGGGAATCGAACTGGGACCTTTTGGTTCATGGGTCAATGCTCAACCCCTGAGCCACACTAGTTGGGCATACTTGCCAGACTTTTTACATGTTGGAAACTCATTCCAGTTTTTGAAGTCATTGCATGGCCATGGGGAACATGTCTGCAGGCCACCAGACCGACTGTTAACACACGGTGATGTTTAGTGTCTCTTGCCCAATGTGTGGGAGTCTTGATACCTGCATTTTACAGGGTTAATATTCTGAGCCACAAGAGGGGATAAAGCTTTAGAACCACTGTAACTCAGGAATAACTAGCTGATATGATTTCCTTTTTGAAATGGGAACAGAATTAGTAGACTGTTTTAGATGTATTTTGGTTACAGAGGGTCTCTGCACCAGGACAGTTGACTTATTACATGTTTGGGATACACATCCATATTATTTTTCAACCAAATAGATAATTTCATTTTATCACATTGAAGCTTTTGTCACTGTTCTGATTACAGATAAGTTTGCCATAACCCACGATGTGCTAAAATTTGAAGGAATATTTTTATTGTCCATTTTTATAAGGATTTATTAAATATTTGGACGATTAAGCAGTGGCATATATTTATATCTTAAAACCTAGAAATCTCATGGCTGTCCTGTGACCTAGCTTTAGTATGTTGTAGAAAAAAATACTTTATTTGCTTTACTGCATCTCATTACCAAAAGAGAATAATGATCTCATTATTTCGTGTGGAAAGACATGGCCTGTGTTCAGACTCCCTAGACTTTTTTTGTCACCATTCCTAATCCAAACCATGAACATTGGTCATAGAAACCCAGGGAGAGAACATTGAAGTCCGAAACAGCACATGCTGTTTCCATAGGAGGAAAAATAAGTCTGATGTTTTCTCAGTATTTGAACATAGTCCTTTGGTTTTTTTGAACAATGAATTGCTATTTAAATAATAGTCGCCCCATTAGGTGTAAAATTGTAGGGGTTATCACCTGTGATTTTAACTCATTTGTTCTCTTGTTTTGATTTTCTTTGGCCAAAACTGCCCAGCAATTAAGAAAAGGGAGGAAGTCTGAAAATTTAAACAATGACGATCATCATAAAATCATTCATTCACTTTAGTATGGTTAGTGATTCGAAGAGGTACCTTACCCTGTGGATCTCGAACTTGATGGTCTGAAGCTTTTAAATTTAAGCCCAGGAGCTGAATAGAACTGAGGAATATTCTCAAATGTTTTCTTAAAAGTTCCTGTTGCTAGTTGGATGAAGAATGTTGAGAGAAATTTTCAGTGTTTTTGGTTTGCTCGGATCCTGGCTGTTGGTATGAGCTGAGTGGAAATGGAAAGTATTCTGGGAAAAACAATTGCCTGAACTTTTCCTAACCTTGAAGGCCTGCTCCGAGCCTGGGTGCCGCGGCAGCCTCGCCCACCCTTATCAAATTCCCTTCTCCGCGGCGAGCAGAATTCTGACTCTGACCGTGAGGCTGCTTCAGTTCTTAACTCCGTGCTTAGGAACTCTTGCCATTGTACATGTCAAGTGAACATTTGACAATGAGGTATGTGTTAATCTGGGCGTTTTTCTTAATTGCTGGGCAGTTTTGGCCAAAAGCAACATCAGAATATTAATAGTCCCCTCCAAGTCATTTGCTGGCTGAGAATCTGCTCCATCTGGAAAAACATAGCATGTTCGAAACCGTAGCGTAGTCAAGTGGACAGACCCACTCGACATAATTACAGGAAAATGAGGATGGGTTATCTTATGACATCACCCAGGCGTTTCCCCTGTTGCTCCAGCTGGCGTCACGTGCAGCTCAGCCATGGCTGCCGGAGGTGGAAACGACTGGAGGGAAGGATGTACAGAGCATTGTGGGCTCATTAGGTTCGAAACACTGGAGGGGAAGTGACTAACCTTCCCCATTTATTTGTCTCCTCCCAGCACAAAAATGCACGGGCAACATGGCAGCTAAGTTTTGGGAGTCATTTTAATGTTGTGTATAACTCCTTTGTGAATATAGGTGAGCGGTGGTAAGCACAGCATTGCTCAGGCAGTCAGTTGAAAGGGACCATGCATCCATGCATTGCTGGTGTGGCTTTTGTATTTGTGAGTATTGAGTTGGTGGTCTAGGGCCCCTTCAGCCCTCTTTCTTCTTGTCTTTTCCTTGTCCTGACCAGGGTGGCAGCATGTACACAGCAGTACCTCAGACCGAGCCGGTGGAGTGCATCACCTGTCGAAATTGCTGGAATAACAATCGGTATGTGGATACATATTTGCACAGGCTGTTGTGAGTGGGTGTATGACTCCTTTTATTTTTTTTTCCCCCTTTAGCAAACAAGTTCTTCAACTTTTACCTAAGATATAAAACTCTGAAGAAGGGAGGCTGTTATAATTTTTTTTTTTTTTTTTTTTGCCCTGCTTTACAGTTTTTATCTTTCTGTGCTTTGGTTTCTTTAGCAATGCTGACTAGTATTAAAGACTTTGTTTCTAAGGTATTAAAAGGTTTAAGGTTTTTGTAAAATCTTTACATTGGAGTCATTCTCGTTGTACAGAATTTGTCTTTTCTCACCTGTTATTTTCAACTCTGAGTTATGGGATGTTTCTATTCTCTGTTATGATGAGTGCATGCTTGATTATTAGGGAAACCCACTGTGTGTATTGGAATGCTTTTTCATAGTTATATTACTGAAATTGATGCTTCCCTTTATCTCTCTCCCTACTTCTCTCTTAAAAAAAAAAAATCAATAAGAAAACATATCCTCGGGTGAGGATTAGAAAAAAACAAAGACATGAGTAATTGGTGGATGAGGCAGGCTGAGAAGGAGGTGTCAGGGATGGTGCCCAGGTGGCGGTGCCGTCACTGAGCTGGGAATCGAGGTAGGAGATGGAGAGAGACTGCTTACCCCTCGGCATACCTTCGGGAATCATCCTTTCAGACGCCTGCCAGGCCTCCTCACACTCACGTTACCCAGGCAGCTCTCCTAAAACCTGGAGGGGCCTTGCTCAGAGCCTTTTCCATGTGCAGTCTTTCCTGCTCTGTACCCGGCCCCTCTATGCTCTTCCTTCTCTGCCTTCTTAGAGTTACACTTAAATGCATTCTTGGAGCGGACTTGTAAGAAAAAGTCATTGTCACCCAGAGACACTTTATCATCCCTCTGTTTGAGTAATAAGCTTAGGAAACTTTGCCCTTACTGTCTCAACTGGAGTGGTGATGTGAAACTCAGAGCCGGTAAGAGGGCATGTGCACTGGAGCGATCTGTGGAGTTGAATTTGATTCTAGGGCTTGTGGCACATGCTGAATGACTGCCTCACTGTGTTCAGTTCATTTGAACCCTTTTCAGTGTTCAGAGTAATATATAACACATAGCTCACTGTGATACCTACTAGCATACCTAGTTATTAGCTTTTCCAGGATCCAGTCCACCTTTCTTCTCTCCTCTCCTCAGTTCCAAAGGTATCAGTGCAATTCCTGATGTGTAACCAAATGGGGTTTGTCAGCTGTTTGGCGAGTTTAATGGGGAGGAATTGACATTAAATCTGGTCTGCTTTCCATCAGTCTTGATGATTGGTAAAGTGTAGAGAGGACACTGATGAAATTCACAGATGAGTGAATTGAGAGGTCCCATCAGGAAGGAAAAAGAAATTAAGGGTCCTAGAGAGATTAGAAATGGGCAGGATGTAAGCCAAGTAAAGATCAGCTTGGAAAAATGTATATATCCCATCTGGGGGAAAAGTACAAGCTATTCATGGCCGAGTCTTCATTATTTTATGTCAACAGAAACAGACTCTGAGATAACTCCGATATTACAATAAGCAGACAGTGACTTTACAGCAGCAATCAAAAATGCATTCAGGGATTTAAAGGAAGATGTACACACATGAATTCACATATAGGAAATTTTTGTCTGTGAAATAAAAACTGTAAAAAAGAAGGCCAAATGAAATTCCAAAACAGAAACCTACTTAACTGGAATGGGCTTGTCATCAGATTAGAAACAACACAAGGAAGAGTCATGAACTAGAAGATCAATAGAAATTATGCGGTCTGAAGAATGGAAAGAAAAACAAAACACACATCTTAGATGAAGACCAGAAATAAAAGTGTGGCAGAACTGAAGTGAATTCTGCAAAAGAAAAAAACACTGAAAAAGAAACAAAATCTAGTTTTTTAATATCTAATCCTTATAGACTTTGACTCAGTAGTATTTTTTCCAAGGATGAGAGGGAACAAGTTATCCGACTTCAAAGAAAGTATGTTTTCCTTGGTTTGCATAAGGTCATTTCTCTTATGTGGACATCAGTTTCTTAGCTGTAAGTCTCCGCATGCATGCCCCAACCCCCTTTCTTCCAGTAACTAATGGCCTTCTCCTGCTGTGTGCTGTGTTCAGGAGCCAGTTATGAATTAGGAAACCACTTCTGACAGTGGACTGAGTCCCAGGAGGCATGTGGGAGTAGGTCATCATATGAGGTTCCGTTCCTAAGTGGTTTGTTTGCCTCTTGATTTATTCTCCTGTTGTATTCCGCTTTAACTGTTATTTCTGAGGTTTTGATGTATCCGATCATAGTGAAGACTTTAGTTATTTTTAAAAGAATAAGTGATACAGTCTCTTAAGAATCTGTGGTACACATGCTATTTCAAAATCGAAGCATTTTAATTGTGGCTTCCTCCAGACAAAACAGTTTCTTTTGGTTCATACCTTGTAGGTGTTTCACCAAGACGAACGGCACTTTCAACAGCAGCCCCCTCTCTGTGGTCCCAGTGGTGGCGCCTTGTCCTCAGGATGGTTTGGAGATGAAGCCCCTCAGCCACGCGAAGATGCCTGCGTGTCAGGCTTCCACACCCCCCGACGGTGGCCCAGCACCTGGGGAGAGCGTCACGGACGATGTGGCGGCAAGACCTGCTCCACACACGTGCTGTCAGGACAGCAGGAGTGAGGTCACCTCTGATTCCACAGAGGATGCGGCGGGATGCAGCAGAGGTACAGGGAGGCATCATCCAACCTTAGCTTCTAGGTCGTCTCCATGTAGCTACGGAGACGGGAAGGTGGCGCGGACGTGTCCTCTCTGTGATCACTCACATCTTCCTTAAAAGACTGGGTGGGGGTGGGGGACACTTCAAGAAAAGTTGACGAGGTCGATTTTGAAATTTTGTGGTTATTCACCTCCTTCAGCTCAGGCTGTCGGTCCCATGACATCTTGGTAAAGAAGCCCAAACAGGCTTTGATTCCGTTTGCACCTGGACGGTAGGCTTGCTCGGAGAGTGCCTTTTGCGGCCATGCGCCTCGGGTTCGTTTGAGTTGGTCCTGGAGTGGTAGCCTTTACTTACAATGGTTATTTTGAGGGTTTTGCTTTAACCCTGAGGTGAACTGTATGACTGCTCGTCAGAGCTCAACTTTATTTTAAACCTTTTATGCCTTTTGTCTCCCTCACATTCAAACTAAGCACACCTGGGCTCTGCTTTCACTCATTATTCTTTCTTTATTGCTCAGAGTAATGTGTTTAGGCTGCTTTGTGAAAATCAGCCTTTATGATTTCACGGTGTTCCCCAATCTTTGTGCTTTTCAGGAGACAGCTGTGTCCATTCAGAAACAGAGAACACAGTTTTAAGTTGGAATCCTCTTATCTTGCCACCTGCTTCAAAGGACTGTACTGAAAAGACAACATGGTCTCCTCCTGGCATTCCTTTAGACAGCCCCGCTGGGGTCCTTCAGCAGCCCCAGGAGACCTGAGGATGTGCCTGGGACTCCAACCAGTCACTGCACAGAACAGGCCTGGGAATGGACTGTGTGAGGGACATTAATTCAAATCAGAGAAAAAGCATTATTTATTTTTGTAGCAGTAATGTCATATGAATGTATCTTAAAATGTGTGCCCTTTTATATTATTTATGCCTGAAAAATTTCCCTCCCCCCCACCTCAGTAGGAAACAACCTTAGTTTTGCATAGTGTTCGATCATCTCAGAGCATTCCACGTTTTCCACAAGCACCTCAGTGCCCGTCAGAGCGCCTCCTGCGAGGCCCCGGCCTGTTGGCTGCCTCACCTGAGAGGGCGTTGCAGGCCGTCGGAAGCTTCCGGGCGGAAAGCTGTCCTTCAACATCGTCTCGTCAGACTTTCGGAGAACATCCTGAAGCAACCACCGTTGTAACCTGCTGTTTACGATAGCACATCGCATGATTGCCTGCGCAGTGACAGCTGAACCGGTGCCCCTCTGCACGTGGGCACAAGTTGCGTCCGTCTTCTGGGCCCCGGTCACACAGTGTCCCGGACAGGGCCGAGGCCTGCGGGGCTGTCTCAGGGCAGCCCGTCCGCAGGAGGCAGCCGAGGCGGAGAAGAAAGCCGCCGAGCCCCGCTGCTTTAAACTTGCGTGTGTCTATAAAATGGTCACGGGGCCACTTGTTAAGTGTTTCTGAGAGCAGGAACCGAGTGAGGCTTTCAGCTGATGGATAGAGGAGAAAGATTGGCATTTTGAGGAGGAAGGGGCAGCAGCTCCCGTTAGTGCAGGATTGTGTTCCTGGGGCCGCTCCACCCGGCATCGTCCTCCTCTCACTCCCTGCCCAGCCACCCTGGGCAGTGCGGCCGTTTAGAAGGACAACGTGGAGGGTGAAGAGGGTATGGTTTGAAATTCCAGTCGTGTCATAGTAAACTGACACCCAATCTTTGTCATCAGAACCGCCCACCAGTTATACTGCCCGCGTGGCAGGGCGCCCCTCAAAGTGCACACAGGATATTTATATGTATAAATATACCATATATATATATATATATATATATATATATATATATATATATATATGAACCCCTCTGTGCCGCGGCGCTCCAGCTTTAATGCCTCCCTACTCCTTTGGGGAATGTGCGTCCCTTTGGGGAAAGAAACAGAATCACTCCCTTTAGAGTCCAGCAGTTCCAGCATTCGGTGAACAAAGCTAGTTTCCCAGAAGTTTCAGTGAAACAGACCCGAATACTATGCTCATCTACTGTCCATACGAGTGCATCCCACTCCCCCCGCCCCCCCGCCCCCCCACGTTTATATGTTTTATAAGTAGGACTCGGGTGAACTGTGCTGTCGAAGCCGCGTCGCTCTGCACGGGTTCCTCCGAGGAGGAAGTGTAAGGCCCGGATCTTCTCGGCCAGGTGTCAGGGTGGCCCAGCAGCGAGCTCTCTGCCCCAGAGCCCTCGGCCGTGCCGTCGAGGAAAACGCAATTAGCTCTGGAGGGAGGGCTGCGTCACCGCGTCTGTGGTAGCGAAAGGACCATGTCGTAGGACACGATGAGGAAGCCTGCCCCGTGTCTGCCGGTCGGGCTGCAGCAGCGCGTTGGGGAGACTGAGGCACAGCTCAGGCCCAGGACTAAACTGCTTTGGAGTTTGAACATGGGACCTGCCCACCGGGAAAGAAGCCAAACTTCACCTTCAGGGCAGCCTCCTCGTGGACGCCTTATTTATATGATCAGTAACGCTGTTTTAAGTGTTATCCCTCTATTGTATTTTATTTATAAAAATGCCTTTATATATTGAGATATATAAATATAAATATACTATATATATATATATCTATATATCATAGCCTTTATGTTAGGAGTTCTGAGTTCTCCCTACCCACGAGCTGTTCTGAACTGCCATGCCCCGCTCAGTCCCCAGAGCTAGTCCTGCCTGGTGGCAGTCACTTCTCCAGGAAGTCCAGGGACACGGCCCACGGCGGGGGTGGGAGGGAGGGGGATGGTGGCATCCACATCTGCGGGCCCCAGCTCATTCCCGCCGTCTCACCGCCCTCCCAGCAAACCCACAAAGTAGGTGTTGAAGCCCACAAGCCTCGCAGGGAGCCGCAGCGCCCGCATGTGAGCCCCCGGCTGAGGTGGAGCTGTAACCCGAACTCCGAGCACTTTTCCACACCGCATTCCAGAGCATTGTGGTTCCCTCGTCCATGGGCCCCGTCCAACCCACGTGCTCCGTCCGCCCTGCGGCGGAGTCCCTGCCGCTGCCCACGTGTGGCTGTGGGGCCCAGCTCCCGGAGTGCACTCTCTCCCTCCGATAGCCCCTCCCCGCCACCATCGCCCCCGTCCCCCACCAGAATCTGATCTTCACTTGGCTTAGTGACACTAGCTGCTCAGGCTTCTTCCTGTCCCTTTCACCTTAGAATTCTCTGTGATTCTTTGTTTTAGCATTTAACACCCTGTCACGGTATGCCCTCGGGGAGGGGCTTGGAGGCGTGGAGAGTAAAGAGCCAAGCTCCAGGTGAATGAAGGGGGCTCACGCCTCCAAGCTTGCACCCCATCTTTCTGCCTCCTCCCAGCGGGAGGACCAGCCTCCTGCACCTGGGTGGCCTGTCCCTGTGGTGGTTGCAGTGGAGGGACTGCCGGGGAGATGGTCAGCAGGTTTATTAGGGATTGCTCGGGCCAGCGGGCACACTGACCTCTCTCCAGCTTCGCCTGCCGTGCCCACCTCTGTCTCACCGCTTCTAGCCAAGTCCGTGGCGGCCATGGGCTGGCCTTGCCCGGGGCATAAGGCTGGGCATAAAGCGGAGAGGGGGCGTTGGGACACACCTTGCTTTTAGGACCTAGTGTGACAGTGAAGATCTCCTCCCTCCCTGTCTCTCCCTCCCCCCCTCCCACACCTTCCTCCTGGGCCTCAGGGTGTCGCGGTCACTGTGATGGTGACGCTCACTGGCTCCTCCGCGGGCTCCTGCGCAGGATCTGAACCTGGGGCCGCGGGTGGCGTTCCAGTGCCTGAGGAGCAGAACGAACGGGCAGAGAGGTGCCTGGGGTGGGGGTAGGGGGGCGCCCCAGATGGTCCTTCAAGGACAAGAGGCATCGCACATCCCTCACGAGACCCAGGACCGGCCCCCTTTGCTGGAGTCGCCTTCGGGATCAGACGCCGCGTACCTGCCTGCAGCTCGGGGCCCTCGGCCGAGCCCCTGTGCCGGTGGCTCTGCTCCCTGAAGGCGAAGCGGGACAGTGAGGTCAGTGCCAGCCACACAGTCAGCCTTCCTTCCCCGCGAGAGAGGGAAACCCGCACTCACATGGGAGCGAGCAGCGGGCCGAGGCCTGCGGACAAGGGGAGGGCGTCTTGGTGAGCAGCAGCCCAGATGGCAGGAGAGCCCTCCCCTCAGAGGCCCTGCCAGGAGCCCGAGGGGGTGCCCGCCCCCGTGCCTGATGCCGGGGTTGGCATCTCACACTGAGGAGATGTCACTCACAGAAGAACCCAGATTTCCTACCCCGGGGGCAGGGAGGGGTGGTTCCTACAGCTCCCTGGGGTCATGGAGACCTGGCTGCCTTCTGGGGTCAAGCAACCACCCCCTTCAGTCCCCCACTCACGGGGGAAGGTCTCCGGGTGCCGGGCAGCGTACTGGAACACCAGCAGAGAGGCCACCGTCGCCACCACCATGCCTGTGCCCGCGGCGCCCAGCACGGCTGGGTAGGCGCTGAAAGGCGGGTCCGCTGGAGGGAGAGCAGTGGGTGCACGGGGTAGGTCAGAGCCATGGCTGAACCTGGCAGCAGTGGCTTATAAGGTGCCAGTTCCCCCTGCCCCTCCACCTCCCGGTGGGTGATCGGGGGCGAGGCTGGACCCAGAGCGCCTGTGTGCCCCGTGCTCCTGAGCTGGACCCCCAGCCAAGCCCCAGGGTTGGCACAGGGGGCAGCGGGCCAGCGATCTCGGCAGCTGCGTGTCATGAGGAGTTCCCAGGCGGAGAGAGCATGGGAAGCGGGGAGCCCACCGTGTGCCCCCCGAGATGAGACTGAGGCCCAGAGGGGGGTCTCTCCTTACTCAGTCTCCCCTTTCCTGCTTCTGATTCAAGCTGAGCTACGGCTCCTACCCCTCGGCTCACACCCTGATCTCCCAAGGAGGGATGGGGAAGACAGCGGTGGGGGAGGACCTGAGGGAAGCCGGGGAGGGGACAGAGATGGGGCGGGAGGGATCCAGCGGGAGGGGAGCAGAGGGATGGAGTCGGGGTACCCTGTGAGGAGAAAGATGGGCAGGGCTCAGCTTTGGGGGGGCAAGGGGAGCCTCGCAGGGCGCTCGCCCAGCACCTGGAATCTTGCCCTCAGAGGGGTGTCCCGCCGTGCGGTGGTTCAGAGCCAGGATGCGGAAGGCGTAGAGCACCCCGGGGTCCAGGCCCCCCAGCCGCCGGGCTCTGCTCTCCGGCTCGATGTCGCCAGCCGCCGTCTCCCAGGCCGCGGCTCCGGGGCCCGGGGCGCCCGCCCGGCGCTGCACCAGGAAGCCGGTCAGGTTCCCGGGGCCCGCCACCGCCCACCGCAGCTGCACCTCCCGGCGGTGCCTCCCGTAGGTCAGGCGGCTGATGGTGACGTTGGGGGGAGCTGGGTACCCTGGGACGAGGGGGGACACATGCAGGCGTGTGCACCACCACCGCGTGTGTGTGTGTGTGTGTGTGTGTGTGTGTGTTCACGTGTGCCCATGTGCTCCAGTTTCATCGGAGCTGGAAAAGGCCTGGCCTGGGCGTGCAGACTTGCTCAGTCCTGTGTGTGGCCAGTGCTGTCCTGACCCCCATTTCTAGGCTGTCTCCTCCCCTAGGAAGGAGGAAAGGCAGATGACTCAGCCGCGTGGAGCTGCCTGCCGTGCTCCAGAGTTCGCCTGCCTCACGGCCAGTAGCCGTCGAGGGTCCTGTGTGTGAGGGGCTGTCTGCCTGCGGGAGCTAACTGCCCGGACACACAAATGCACCCCCTACACACTCTCACACACATACACACTCTCACACACATATACACACACACTCACACACACACACTCTCACACACTCACTAACACACTCTCACACACTCATACACACTCATACACACTCATACACACACACACACTCTCTCACACACACACTCTCACACTCACACACACACTCTCACACACACACTCACACACACTCACACACACACACACACTCACACACACTCACACACACACACTCACACACACACTCTCACACACACACACACACACTCACACTCACACACACTCACACACACACACACACACTCACACTCACACACACTCACACACACACTCTCACACACACACACTCTCACACTCACACACACACTCTCACACACACACTCACACACACTCACACACACACACACACTCACACACACTCACACACACACACTCACACACACACTCACACTCACACACACTCACACACACTCTCTCACACACACACTCTCACACTCACACACACATCACACACACACTCTCACACACACACTCACACACACTCACACACACACACACTCACACTCACACACACTCACACACACTCTCTCACACACACACTCTCACACTCACACACACACATCACACACACACTCTCACACACACACTCACACACACTCACACACTCACACACACTCACACATACTCACACACACACACTCTCACACACACACACACACACTCACTCACTCACACTCACACACACTCACACACACTCTCTCACACACACACTCTCACACACACTCTCTCACACACACACTCTCACACACACTCTCACACACACTCACACACACACACACACACTCATACTCACACACACTCACACACACTCTCTCACACACACACTCTCACACTCACACACACACATCACACACACACTCTCACACACACACTCACACACACACACTCACACACACACATACACACACACACTCTCACACACACACACACACACTCACTCACACACACTCACACTCACACACTCTCACACACACACACACACACACACACTCACACTCACACACACACACACTCACACACACACACACTCACACTCACACACACACTCACACACACTCACACACACTCTCACACTCACACTCACACACACTCACACACACACTCTCACACACACTCTCACCCATACACTCACACATACTCACACACACACACACTCACACACACACTCACACACACTCTCACACTCACACACACGCACGCACACACTCACTCACGGAGGACCTCCAGCAGGATGCTGCCGCTGCTGTTGCCCAGGGCGTTTCGGGCCACACACTGGTAGGTGCCCCTGTGGCGAGCGGGGTCCGCGCTGAGGATGCTGAGGTGGAGCTGGGCGCCCTCGGGGTGCAGCACGAATCCAGAATCGCCCGGTTCCAAGGGCTGCTGCTGGGGTCCCAGCCAGAGGAGGCGGGCGGGGGGCGTGCCGCCCAGGAGGGCACAGCGCAGCCAGGCCTCTTCCCCCTCCAGCACCGACACCCGGGCCGCAGCCACCGCCAGCTGCGGGGCTTCTGCAGGGACAGAGAGCGAGGCTGGAGCTGGCCCCCGTGCCCGGAGGGTGGGGGTGGGGGGTGGGGGAGTGGGGGTGGGAGGCTGGGGGAAGGTGCTGGCCAGTGGTGGGGGAGGGGAGAGAGAGGAGGGGGTGACAGAGAAGCCGCCCTGGGCCAGTCTGTCTCCTCTGAAATGCTCTGCAGATTCCCATCGCCGCCTGCTCCAAAGCTAGGTGGTGAGAGCGCCCCTCTCCCGCCAACCCCAGGCTCTGCGCCTGCAGGTGGGGCCCGCCTCCTGCACCTGGGCCTCCACCTCCGCACCTGGTCCAGGGCCTCCTTCCCCCAGGGCCTCCACCTCCCGTCCCCTCGCCCCCCACCCGGGGCTGCGCCCATAGCAGGGCTGGCTTTTTAGGGGAGGACTCCAAACGACCCAGAGGCCGGGTGTCGGGAACCTCTGATGCAGTGTCCAGTCCGGAGGCTGAGCGACAGGGAGGGAAATATTGGGGTTGAGGAATTTCTCAGAGCCCCTGAAGCAGGCTGGTCACCAAGCCTTGGGGAGTAAGATGTTACTCATTTTGTGAGGATTATTATACACTAGAGGCCTGATGCATGGAAATTCATGCAAGAGTAGGCCTTCCTTCCCTCAGCTGCCAGCACCAGCTTCCCTCTGGCACCCAGGACCTCCGGCCACCCACAGGCACCCAGGACCGTGGTCAGCTTTCCCCGGACCACCCACAGGCACCTGGGACCCCGGTCTGCTTCCCTCAGGCCCTGGCTTTGTCAGGAAGAACATCCGGACTTCCAGGCATCTGGAGGGTCATTTGGCGGCTATCCAGTCTAATTACCAGTTTACCCTTTTATTACTATAGATATTGAGTTGCATAAAATGTTCCACCTATTTCTTTTTGCTTTTTTTTTAATGTGGCTACTAGAAAATTTAGAATTATAGAGATAGCCCTGGCTGGTGTTGCTCAATGGTTAGAGCGTCTGCCCATGCACCAAAAGGGTGCAGGTTTGATTCCTGGTCAAGGGCGCGCACTTGAAAAAAAAAAAAGGGGGGGTGGGCACGCACCTGGATTGCAGGTTTGCTCCCTTCCCCCAGTTTGGGCAGGTGTGGGAGGCAACCAATTGATGTGTCTCTCACATCAATGGTTCTCTCTCTCTCTTTCCACCTCCCTCCTTCCCTTCCACTCTCTCTCTAAAAGTCAGTGGGGGGTAATCCCACTCCTAGGAATATATCCCAAGAAACTAGAAACACCAATCAGAAAGGATATATGCACCCCTATGTTCATAGCAGCACAATTTACAATAGCTAGGATTTGGAAACAGCCTAGGTGCCCGTCAGCAGATGATTGGATCCAAAAACTACGGTACATCTACACAATGGAATACTATGCTGCATAAAAAAAGAAGGAATTCGCATCATTTGCAACAACCTGGATGGAATTGGAAAGCATCATGCTGAGTGAAATAAGCCAATCAATGAAAGAGAAACACTACACGACCTCACTCATTTATGGATAATAAAGAACATCATAAACTGATGAACCAAAAGATAGATATAGAGACAGTAAAGCAATAAGCAGACTGTCAAATTACAGCAGGTAGGGTAGGGAGATCTGGGGGAGATAATAGATCAACCGAAGGACTTGTATACATGCATATAAGTACAACCAATGGGCACAAAACTCTGGAGAGGGAGGGTATGTATGGGAGGGAGGGAGGGGGGCAAAAAAAAAAACAATAAAAGTCAGTGGGGGGGGGGATATATCCTCAGGAGAGGATTAACAATAAACATAAATAAATAAAAGTCTATACATGGCTCCCATTATATGTTGATTGGTCAACACACACACAGACTAAACCCCCTGAGTTTATGGAGCAAACACACCTGAGTCCCTGGGAGGCGAGCTGCCCAGTCTCCGAACCCACTTTGCACCCCAGTCCCTGGGCCCGATGCCGAAAGGCTGCTCCTCCCGCCCCCGTCCCAGCACCCAGGCCCGAGCCCCCACTCACCCAGCTGGAGCCGGCAGCGGGGACCGGGCTCCCGGAGCGGGTGAGTGCCCTGGCAGGTGAACGCCTGGCCCGCCAGCTCGCCCCGGGCCGGCAGGAGGTGGACGGCCGTCGAGGAGCTGCTGCTGCTGCCCAGCGGCTGCTGCTGCCCGTCCAGCCAGCTCAGCAGGGCGGGGGGCTCGCCGCCGGCCCACTCGCAGCTCAGCGTGACGAACTGCTCCCCCGACGTGGCTGCGGTCCAGCACGCGGGGCCCCCAGGGGGCTCCCCTGAGGAGGGCATGCAGGGCTCAGCGGGACCCTCCAGGGGGAAGGGTCCCCACAGGCCCAGCCCGTCCCTCCCTCCTTCCTTACTGGTTCACTCGCCCCCGCCCCCCTTGACGCAGTCACCTCAGTCATTCTTTCACTTATCGTCTGTGGAAGGCTGACCACGTGCCAGAGAAACAGGGGGGACACACGCTAGCAAAGAGGTGCAGAAGGACTTTGAAAACAAGATGGCGTTGAACTTGGTCTTTGGTAGATGGACAGGAGTGTCCAAGGTGGAGAGAAAGTTCCAGGCACAGAGTTCAAGAACAGCATGCAGAGGAGCAGTAGTGGCCATATGGGAGGGGGGTGGGGACGGGAGGAGGGGGCCTGGAGGTGTGGGGGTGGGGAGGCAGCCTGCTGACCCTGGGGGCTGGGAGACAGTGAGGAGGGTGTCAGGGAGTCCCAGGCCTGAGACGAGGAGGACAGGCCTCAGAGCAGATGGTGGCCAGCCTGGGTGGAGAGACGTGGGGAGGTGGAGTCTGGGCTGAGGGTGCCACTTTCCTGTGACGTGGAAAGTCTCAGAGTTTGTGGTTGGAGCCCCAGCCAGACCCAGGGCCCCTCCATTCTCCCCCCTGACCCTTCCCCCTCTCCTCTCCCTGGGTCGCCGGAGCCCGGCTAGCTCTGTGCACTCACACAGGGCGCTCCTGCAGAGGGCGGGCCGCGCCAGGGCGGGGTGCTGGCCGGCGCAGGTGAAGACGCTGCCGTTGGGCAGCTGGGTGGCCGTGAGGCTCCAGGTGACGTTGCCGGGGGCGGCGGGGCCCGCTCCTCGGGGCCCCTCCCACTGCAGCTGGGCGGCCGGCAGCCCCCCGGGCCAGGCGCAGACCAAAGTCACAGCCCCGGGGGCGGGGAGCACGGCACAGGAGGGCTGCCCCTCGGGGGGATCTGGGGACAAGTGGGCTTGGATGGGGCTGGGCCAGGCCGCTCTGCCCGTGCGCCAGCACCCCTGGGGCCAGAGGCGTCCTGGTGGGTGACGCGGGGAGAAGAAGTGGGTGAGCGGGGGAGACCGACCCCTCTGAGGGGCTGGCTGGTGAGCTAAAAGCTGAGCCCTCAGGTCAAGGGGCATGGCTTGGGGGGGGGGGGCTGGACAACCCTGGGGGCTCCCTTGGAAGTCCCGGCAGGAAGTGCTCCCATGCCCCGTTGCCCTCCTCGCCTGGCACCCTGTCTCACTGTCCTCACTCTGCCCCACTCCGGGCCACAGCTCAGTCCGGGGACCATGGGACAACCCCTCAGAAGGGGTGTCTGCACGGGAGACGGGGCGGGGGGGCGGTGAGGGGTCCTCTCCTTGCCCTTCCCAAGCTTTGTTAGCCTCTCCCCCTGCTCTGCAACTCCAGTTGGTCCCCCAGACCTGCCTCTGCCCATTCCCCATGGGCTCTGCAGGAGCACGGGGTTGGGGGGTTGGGGGGACAGGGCACACACTCACAGTAGATGCTGAGCTGGACGGCAGTCTGTGAGCGGGTGTCCAGGTGGCTGTTGTGGGCCAGGCAGGCGTACAGGCCTGCGTGGGCGCGGCTAGCGCGGGCAATGGCGTAGGCAGGCCCGGCGTGGACCTGCGCGTGGTCCCGGAGCCACACGTAGTGACTCGGGGGGTTGGACGCGGCCAGGCAGCTCAGCGTCACTTCCTCCTCCTCACTGGCCCAGAAGCCCTCCTCGGCAAGGCCCGGCGGCTCCACGGTGATCACAGGCTTGTCCGGACCGTCTGGGGGGCAGGGGGGGGCCGTCGCACCTGTCCAGTTTGCATCCCTGCCTCTGCTCAGGTGCTCACCGCCACCCCTGCTCACTGGGCAGCCACCTCGTCGTACGCACCAACGGTGCCAACCACACTGTGCTAGGCCCCTGAGGAGCCAGCGGCCAGGGGCCACGGGCACAGCCCAGTGTGGGGGACGGGGGTCTGGGGAGTGAGCCCCAGGCTAGGGGGCCAGAGGGGACTTTCCGGAACTCCGGGAGTCTGGGGCACTCCCGGGGGCCCCGGGTGTGCCAGGAGGGCTGAGGGACATGGGTCGCCGGGCGCCAGCCCTGCCCGCCCACCCCCACGCCCGTCGCACTCACAGACGACGTCCAGGAAGGCCCCGTCGCTGCTCAGCCGGTTGACGGCGTTGTGGGCGCTGCACACATACCAGCCCAGGTGCGTCCGGCGGACGGGGTCCAGCAGGAGCACCGGCTCCGTGACCCCCGCCAGGGCCTCCTCGCGGCCTCTGGACGTTCGATGCTTCCAGGCGAAGGCCACAGGTTCCGTGCCCTCCCGCACCGTGCACGTGGCCACCACCGACGCCCCCTCCGCCGGGGACGGCTCGCTCAGCCGCACCTGAGGCTTAGACACAGGCACTGGCAGGAAGGAAGAGGCTCTGTGTCGGTCCCTGCAGACCCAGGCCCTGCCCGCGGTGCCGGGGCCCCGCCCTTGCAGCCCGGTGGGACAGGGTGAGGTAGGGGACAGGCCAGAGTTGGGTGGGCGGCCGAGGGTGCGTGCCCAGTTCTCTCTCGTTGCCTGGCGTTGAGGGACTGGCCCGGCTGGTCCCTTGAGACCAAAGGGAAATGAACAGGTGGGCAGTGTGCCCTGGGTGAACCCAGCAGCTGGCTCTTTCCAGTCCTTTGGGTCTCTACCTTCCCCTCTCTCCTGTGCCCTCTCTCCCGGACCCCCGGCAAGGACGAAATTCTCTTTCTTCTTCTATTCTACCCTAAGAACGATTCCTCTCTCTCTCTCCCCCACCGGCCTCAGCCTACACTTCCCACAAGCTGCCTTGAAGAAGCCCGACGAGACCCCGTCCATCCCTGCTCCTTACGCCCTCCGGGCCAGCACTGTCCAGCAGCCGTGTGGACAACAGACGCTTCCATTCCCGCACATCCCCGGCTTCCCCCTCCCCGGGGGCGGCCCTGGAGCCCCTGGGCCCTGCAGCACACAGCGGGCAGCACATGCAAAGGGGTGCACGCAGCACGCAGCATGCAGCATGCACAGCGCTCACACCCAGGCCCCTGCCGGGCCCTCACCGAGCACGGCCAGGCTGAAGTGGGAGTAGGCGGTGTGCAGCCGGCCTCCGACGGCGGCGGCGTGCAGGGCCTGGCACAGGAAGTGGCCGCGGGCGGCCTCCCGCAGCTCCCCCAGCACCAGGCTGCCGTTCCGCAGGCTCACGGCGCCCAGCGCCGAGGCCCCGGCCTCCACCTCAAACTCGGCTCCGCTGGCGACGGCCACGGGCCGGGGGATCCGCGAGCCCAGGGGGGTGAAGCTCCAGAAGACCACCGCGGGGGCAGGCGGGGAGCCGCAGGCCAGCTCCACGGAGCCGCCCCGCACGCCCTGGACGGACGCCACCTCCTCGTCGGGCTGCCCTGGGGACAGTGACATGCGGGACATCTGACCTGTCGGGCTCTCCTGCCTCCCCTCCTTGCCCAGAGCCTGGTCTGCAGCCGGGACAGCGTGGACAGGCTGGATCAGACAGGACAGGCCCTTCGGGGGTGGAGGTGGGGGCCGTGTCCGGGGGAGCCTGCAGCCTCCTGCCTGGCTGTGCTGGAGGAGTGGGAGGCTGGGGACCAGCCAGAGGGCTCGAGAGTCAGGGGAGCCGTGTGGCCACTGGCCATCGGGCTCCGGAGGCCTCAGGAAAGGACGCCAAGGGGTTTCAGAGCCCATGGCAAAGGGAAGGCCCCACCTGCCTGTCATCGGCCCATCCGGCGCCTATTCACCTGTCAGCTGTTTCAACTCTCAAGCGCTTGCCTCGTGCCAGGCCCCGGGGTGGCAGTGACAAAGGAGCCACCCCCCAGGGGCTCCCGTGGAGTCCATCAGAGACTCAGACGTCAGCTCATTATCACAGGGTGAGGCTGCCCGAGCCTGGCCCGGACCCCAGCTTCTGCCCAGGCCCCGGGGTGTCCTGCCCCTGCGGCCAGGCTGCTCCGACATGCTGACAGCCCCAAAATGTGGGACTAACACCGTGGTCAGCACACTGCGGCTCTCAAGCCACACGCGGCTCTTTGGCCCCTTGAGTGTGGCTCTTCCACAGAATACCACGGCCTGGGCGAGTCTATGTTGAAGAAGTGGCGTTAGAAGAAGCTTACATTTTAAAAAATGTGGCTCTCCAAAGAAACGTCAATCGTTGTGCTGCTGATATTTGGCTCTGTGGACTCATGAGTTTGCCGGCCACTGGGCTAACATAAGTGCCGCAGGGGAAACCGAGCTGCAGGAGTCACGCCCGCTTGCCTTTGCTGAGGGCGAGGAGGCTCTGTCTTGCACTCTCACCTCGGGACCCGCTGCCCCTGATTGTTACAATCAAGGCATCCCCAAGACTCTGAAACAGGAAGCCACGTGTCGAAAGCCCCACGGGAGATGGTGGGGCTGCAGTCCCAGGTTCGATTCCGGTCAAGGGCATGTACCTTGGCTGTGGGCACATCCCCAGTGGGGGGTGTGCAGGAGGCAGCTGGTCAATGTTTCTCCCTCATCGATGTTTCTAACTATTCCTCTTTGTAAAAAATCAATAAAATATATTTAATAAAAAAACAGATGTGGAGTCGGAGAGGAGGGATTGAAGGCAACATTCTGAGGTTCAATTAACTAAGAAGGACAAGAACCCAGAAAGGGATTCTTTCCTGTCCCACCAGCTGCCAATGCCCTGACGACCCACCAGGCTTAGGGGAAACAGTGAAACCAGATCAAATCAGGTCACTCTCTTGCTCACGGCTGGGCAGTGGTCCCCAGGGTCACCTGGGCTTTAGAGGGATGCAGAGTCCTGTTCGGGCCCGCCTCCCCCACCTGACAGGCAGAAGCCGCTCAGAGCACGCTGGCTGATGTCTAGCAGGTCAATGACACGAATGGACTCACTGGTTATGTCAGTGCGGAAGAAGGATCCCGAGGAAGAAAGGGAAGAGATGCCCGGCCAGGCATGGCTCAGTGGTTGAGCATCGACCTCTGAACCAGGAGGTCAATGGTTTGATTCCCGGTCAGGGCACATGCCTGGGTCTTGGCTGGATCCCCAGTGTGGGGCGTGCAGGAGGCATCCAATTAATGATTCTCTCTCATCATTGATGTTTCTCTCTCTCTCTCTCTCTCCCTCCCTTTCTCTCTAAAATCAATAAGCCCATATATTTTTTAAAAAAAATAAAATAAAAAAGGAAGGGGAGGAAAGAATGGGATACGAGTGGGAACGGGTTACTGTGGGGGGTGAGGGGGTTGAGTATTGCTCACCTGAGGCCCCGAGACACAGGAGGCAGAGGGGCGGCAGCAGCAGGAGGCTGGGTGGTCTGCGCAGGGCCCGCCGACAGTCCACGGCCCCCATCGCCCGTGTGGCCCACGGAGCCTGCTCCACTCTCGGGCTCCGTCTCCCCGGAGCCAAGCCCGCCTGGAGAGATGGGGTCCTGGCTCAGGTTGCCAACCTCAGCCCTCTGCACCTTCGCCCCTGCTCTCCTGTTACCTCCCTGCCCCGATGACCCCGATGAAGGGTGAATTATTTACCAGGTGATTCACTCCATCCATAATGCAGGAGGCAGGAAGCCGTGGCTGGGCCCCGAGCTTTATTCTGGGATGTAGGGAAATCAGAGTCGCTGAGCCTCCTCCAGGCCAGCTGCCCGACCAGGGCAGGGGCCCCAGTGCTGAGCTCCTGATCGGGGATCAGAGGGTCAGACCCACCTCCCTCGGCTCTCGCCCTCCGCTCGCCTCAGGTCCTGTTAGCAGCCCGGGGACTGTGGTGGGAGCTCTGGGGTCCAGTTTGGGTTCGACCCATGAACTGTGAAACTCCAGGGCATTGTTGAGCCTCTTCCAGCTTTGTTTTTTTTCACAGAGAAATGGAGATAAAACACTTTCTTTCTTGTGAAGATTAAATGGAAAAACACTTATATTATTATGGGGGGCTTCATGGGCGCTCTTAATGTCCTATTTCTGGGCTTGTGTAGGGGTTACCGTGCATCAAGCTGTACGTTCATTGTATGTACTGTTACATATGCGTGCTCACATACACACACACACACACACACACACACACACACACACCTGAGCAGCACCAGCGTGTAGTTGGTGCACCATCAGGCCTGCTCTGTCTGGGTTTGACCTACGAAGTCTGGACCCTGAAGCTGGCATCCTCCTGACCAGGGCTCTGAATCTCAGCTCTCTCCTTTTCCTCCTCCTTTTCCTCCTCCTCGTCCTCCTTTTCCTCCTCCTCCTCCTCCTCCTCCTTCTCTCCCTCTTACTCCTCCTCCTCCTCCTTCTCTCCCTCTTACTCCTCCTCCTCCTCTCCTCCTCCTCCTCTCCTCTTCCTCCTCCTCCTCCCCCTCCTCCTCCCACTCTACCTTCTCCTTCTCCTCTTCTTTCTCCTCTTCCTCTTGATGTCCTGCTGCCTTAGCAGTCTTTGCATGACAACCTTGAGATGAGGTCAGTTTTCCATCCTCTGGGGGCAGGAAGGGAGCAGGGAGGGTGAGAATCCTGGGCCCCTGTGAGGCTAGGGATCTGGTGTCAGGTGTCAGGTTCGTGGGGCAGAGCAGGGGACAGGACACTCCAGAGCTCAGCGCCAGGCAGGCCCTTCCTGCGCCCAGGGGTGCTCGCAAGGGCACTCCCAGCCTCTCACTTGGCTTAAGCCTGTAAACAGACCTCTGTGCCACTCTCCCTCAGCCCAGGGCCAAGGACCGTGCGTGCCGTCCTTGGGGTCGTGAGCGCCCGTTCGGCGGTAAGCAGAATGGCAGGTGGCCCCTGGGAGGCAGGCTCCCATGGCGTGGGGCTGACAATGTCTGACTGACCCTGCTGTCCAGGCCATGTGGCCCACTTGTTTTGATTCCACACACACACACACACACACACACACAGGAAATATCTTCAGATGTTCCTTTGGGAGCAAGGACTGGGGATTTGGCTGCGTCTACCTCAGGCTGGATGGCAGCTCTGTCTCCAAAGCGAATGTGAGGATCAGGCAGGTGAACCAGGAAGCTTTAAAGGCTCCTCTGGTCTGGCCTAAACCGGTTTGGCTCAGTGGATAGAGCATCGGCCTGCGGACTGAAAGGTCCCAGGTTCGATTCTGGTCAAGGGCATGTGCCTTGGTTGCGGGGATATCCCCAGTAGGAGGTGTGCAAGAGGAAGCTGATCGAAGTCTCTCTCTCATTGATATTTCTAACTCTATCTCTCTCTTTTCCCCTCTGTAAAAAATCAATAAAATATATTTTTTTTAAAAAATAAAGGCTCCTCTGGCTTGCAGTGAGGGTCTGTCTGTGCCTGCCCCAGACTTCATCTGTTCTGCTGGTGGCATTAGTGCCTTCTTACCAGGGTAACCGCGGGCTCCGCAGGAGCTTCTCAGCCCATTCTGCCTGTCTCCTTAGCAACAGAGTCCTTGGACAGGAGGACCATTGAGGGAGGTGCTTAGAAAGGGTTCTCCAGACGAACCACGGATAGGATGTGTGTGCACTGAGTGGCCAGATGATGATGATCTCTGAACGCATAATAATCTGGCCACTAGTGTATATCCTATATAATAAAAGGCTAATAGGCAAATTATCCCCTCGACCAGGAGTTCGACCATCAAGCAGGCTAGCCAACTGCCCATGTCCCCTCTCCCTGGCCAAGCTGACCAGACCCCACCCATGCACAAATTCATGCACTGGGCCTCTAATACACACACACACACACACACACACACACACACACACACACACAGAGTGGCCAGATTATTATGCGTTCAGAGATCATCATAACCTAGTAACTCAGTGTATGTAGAAAGAGACACATTATAAGGAGTTGCTCACATGGTTTAGGGGGCAGTGGGCATGCTGGAGGCCCAGGAGGGCAGTGAAGGATTGAGAAAAGACAGACAAGAGAATGAAAGCTGGGTCTTGGTGGGACGCTGCCCTCTCTGATGGAAAGACAGCGATACCATCCACAAGCTGTGTCTTTATTTTACAGCCAGATTCCCACGAGGCAAAGTAAGGGCGTGGTCAAGGTGTTTACAACATTCTCGTGGGTTTTGATCCTACTCAACTACCTGTACCTGAACTCTATCAAGCCCACGTCCCTCAGGCACGTGCGGCCACGTGGCCACGTGTTCGGGCCGTAGGGTCAAGCTCACAACTCCAGCTGTTGGCTATCATTGTGCTGGGAGGGCTCTGCCTTCCAAGCTGGGACTTGCACGTGGCCATGAGAGAACTGTGCCCTCTCACTGAACCTGTGCAAACTCCGTGGCCGCTCTCCACGGGGGGCTGCCTCTTCTTTGGGGGAAGGTTGACCTTTTTGCTCCCTGCAGGCCTTCCACTGATTGGATGCAGCCCACCCACACATCCAATGGGCGGGGGCCATCTGCTTTACTCGGTCCCCACCTGATCTCTGAACACATAATATTCTGGCCACTCAGTGTATATCCTCCTATCAGGTGTGACCAAATCTCTGGCCCCGTGGCCTCGTGAAGTGACACTAAGTTCACCATCATAGAGGCGAGTGGGTGCCCGATCCAGCAACCCGGCTCTGCCAGGCTCAGTGGTTGAGCATCACCCCATGAGCCAAGTGGTCACCAGTTGGAGTCCCAGTCAGGACACACGCCTGGGTTGTGGGCTTGATTCCCAGCAGGGGACGTGCAGGAGGCAGCCGATAGATGATGCTTCTCTCTCTCACCCACGTTTCTTTCTCTCTATCCCTCTCCCTTCCTCTCTCTCTCTAAAGTAAAATAAATTAAAAAAAAAAAAAAGGCTCAAAATCTTTCTCAGTTGCGGGCTGTGTTAACCAACTAGTTACATTTCTTTCCTGGCCACTGGGTGTGCTCACCCTGCTCTCCCAGAGACCAGAGAAGGCTGGCCGCCCTCAATTTTCTGGAGGAATCAGCAGCCCAGGCAGTGCTGAGGCTGCTACCGAGACCCCCTCCCCAACCAACCCCCCTGGTTCTCCCCCCTCCCTCCCTGCTGTGGGGGTCACCCAGCTCCCTGCCAGCTGTAACCATGCAAGCCCTGATTCTAGAGCCCGGGCTCTGGAGAGGCAGAACGTGGGGTGGGGGGTGGCTGGGCCGGAGTGGAGGAAGCGACGCTCCTAGGAGTAAATGGCTTTTCCATGTGTGTACACGCTGCCTGCTGGAGGCCAGCCACAGGCCCTCGGGACCTGGTGGGAGATGAGCCGAGGGCTGGAGAGGAAATGGGGAAGGCTCTGTGGTCCAGGCGACAGGGCTCCTGCTGAGAGGAGGAGGCGGGAGGGCCAGAGGGGTCACTGCTCAGTCCCTGCGTCCATGGCTCCTCGGAGGAAGTGAGGGAATGAGTGAGGTCCTGGAAGGAGGGGTGAGGGAAGAAACAATGAAGATCAGGAGAGGAAGGAGGGGGAGGGAAGGCTGGGGAGGAGGAGGCCAAGGTACTATGTGGAGGCTGGAGCCCCCCGGGGGGCCCGGGGCAGGAGGCTCACGTATATCATTAACATATTACACTTTGATGGGTTGAATGGATGACTGGACACCTGAACACTTAACATATTAGGCTTTTATGGTATAGGATTATTTTTAATCCTCACCCAAGGATATTTTTTCCATTGATATTTCAAGAGAGTGAAAGAGAAGGAATTGGGCCAAAACCGGTTTGGCTCAGTGGATAGAGCGTCGGCCTGCGAACTCAAAGGTCCCGGGTTCGATTCTGGTCAAGGGCATGTACCTTTTGGTTGCGGGCACATCCCCAGTAGCGGGTGTGCAAGAGGCAGCTGATCAATGATTCTCTCTCATCTATGTTTCTAACTCTCTATTCCTCTCTCTTCCTCTCTGTAAAAAATCAATAAAATATATATTAAAAAATACTTAAAAAAAAGAAAAAAAGAAAAAAAAGAAAGAGAGGGAATTGGAGGGAGAGGCAGAGAAACATTGATGTGAGAGAGACACATCCATTGATTGCCTCCCACACTTGCCCTGACCAGGGCTGGAGATTAAACCTGCAAACCAGGTATGTGTCCTTGACTGGGAATCCAACCTGTGACCCTTTGGTCCACGGGCCAATGCTCCCACTAGTGAGCCAAACCAGCCAGGGCGCTGTCATGATTTTTCGGAAACAGGTTGGCGCTGGGGCTGGGGCTGGGGCCGGCAGCAGCACAGGTTTGGGGTGAGGAACGCAGCCTCCAGGAGAGGAATGCTCGGGGCGGAGGCCCTCCCTGCGCCAATTGGCACTGTGGCTTCCACTGTGTGCAGAGTGGCTGTGCTAGGACCGTTTTCTGTGCTTGAGGGTCTGCAGGGAGCACTTGGCTGTGGCTGGGCCGATGGGTGTCTGTGCACGGGGCTGAAGGAGCCAGACTGGGCACCTGAGGTCAACGAAGAAAGCTGGGGACCCAAAGAAACCTCTGGCCTCT